AAAATTCTAGATCCAAGTCCAAAGGACATAAGTCCAACAAATCCTGTAAGTACTGCAAGAAGCATGGTCATGATGTGACTGAATGCTTCAAGTTGAAAAACAAGCAAGAGAGAGAAAAGAAGTCCGCTGAAGCTAGTGTTCTTGAAAGTGATTCAGAAGGCGATGTTTTGTTATCTGTTAGCTCCGGTTGCAAACGGAGCGAAACCGAGTGGATTCTAGACTCTGGTTGTACATTTCACATGTGTCCTCACAAAGACTGGTTCATCTCTCTGGAACCGGTTAATGGTGGAATTGTCTTGATGGGTGATGATACCCAATGCAAGGTTAGTGGAATTGGAAGTGTGCAGATTAAAACTCATGATAACGTTATCAGGACTCTTACCAATGTGCGGTATATTCTTGATTTGAAACGCAATCTGATATCATTGGGCACCTTGGAATCTCTGGGATACAAGTACATAGCTGAAGGTGGAGTTTTGAAGGTCATAAAAGGCTCTGTTGTTCTCATGAAAGCTTTTCGTTCTGGAAGCGTGTACGTCTTGCATGGCAGTACTGTGACGGGTTCAGTAGCGGTATCCTCATCGATGTCTGATGCGGATCTCACTCAATTATGGCATATGCGTCTGGGGCATATGAGTGAGAAAGGCATGCATCTCCTGAGCAAAAAAGGCCTCCTTGGTGGTTCAGGTACGGGTAAATTACAATTTTGTGAGCATTGTATTTTTGGGAAACAAAAGAGGGTAAGTTTCTCTACTGCTACACACCGTACCAAAGATGTATTGGAATATATACATTCCGATTTATGGGGACCAACTAAATTCCAGTCTATGGGAGGTTGTAGATATTTTATGTCTATTATTGATGACTTTTCTCGTAAAGTCTGGGTCTATTTCCTGAAACATAAAAATCAGGCATTTTCTATTTTCAAGAAGTGGAAAATACTTGTTGAGACTCAGACAGGTAAAAAAGTCAAGAAGCTCAGGACAGACAATGGCTTGGAGTTCTGTGAGTCAGATTTCAATGACTTTTGTGCGGCAAATGGAATCGCCAGGCACAAGACCTTGCCTGGTAAACCCCAGCAAAATGGTGTTGCCGAACGTTTGAATAGGACTCTATTGGAAAGAGCTCGTTGTATGCTCTCTAATGCTGGGTTATGGAAACGGCGTGATTTTTGGGCCGAGGCCGTTTCTACTGCTTGCTATTTGGTAAATAGATCTCCACATTCATCCCTTGATTTCAAAATTCCAGAGGAAGTTTGGTCAGGTAATCCTGTTGACTACTCTATCTTAAGAGTTTTTGGATGTCCTGCTTATGCTCATTCCAGTACGGGTAAATTGAACCCGAGAGCTGTCAAATGCATTTTCCTTGGTTATGCCTCTGAGTCAAAAGGGTATCGTCTATGGTCTCCTGATTCTCGGAAAATCATTCTGAGTCGAGATATCACTTTTGATGAAAATGCACTACGTTCTTCTGGAAAAGTTCCCAGTACAGATGAGACGCAAAGTACTGGTGAGAAGGTGGAGTTTGAGTTCATGCCTATTGATAGTGTTACTACTGCTGATGGTAATACTAAAGATGATGCATCTACTAGCACCGCACCTCTCGTCGAGCCACAACGAGAGTATTCCATTGCTATGGATCGTCCTAGGAGGACAATTAAAAAACCTGCTAGGTATGCTAGTGATGATGAAACCAACTTGGTTGCTTATGCTCTTTCAGTCGCACAGGAGGTTGATGATGATCCATCCTGCTATTATGAGGCTCTTCCTGTTGCTAAGTTCAAGTAGTGCTTGAGTTTAGTCGGCTGTTCCAATTGTTAATTCTCACAATGAATTTGATCCAAGGTGGAGATTGTTAGATATAATATGTGGCTCAAATTGTGTGGCTCAAAATCATGAAGACCACTCACCATGAAACTAGCATCCATGTTTCACATCTTCACCTAATTTCTTGGGTCTTCTTACAATCACCACATTTGTCTCTAGTTTGAAATGTATAAATAGGCTAGAATTCCTTTGTAATCAGGCATCAATTTTAATTCATTCAATTCTTTATCTTCTCTCACGTAGAGTATATATTTAATATATATATTTTCTTTGTATTCTCTATTTAGAGATTAATATATATATTTTATAATCTCCCAAATTAGCAATTGCCTTATTCTGTTATTTATATTATTTTCCCTATTATTTAACTTCTATAATTCTCAATTTTCGATTCTTCGCTTCCGCATTATTCCGCTATATTCCTAACAAGAACCAGTCAAAGATGGCAGCATTCCAAATAAACATTGAAGAACTATCCTTCACTTTGATGAGTTTTGCAACTACACCCTTCACCCTTGATCTATCAAAATTCTTCACAGGGTCATTGTATGTGAAGTCAACATTGGCTAGTTGTGAAGAAAGAACACGGATTTCATCCTTTAACTTCTGCACCATCTCTACTTCAACTACACGGTCCTGATAGCATTTATCACCAAGTAAAAACAAATTCAGACTTGGTAATGGTGGTTAACTGGTTATCACCAGAACACTAGCTTTAATGAAAACTAACATTTCATCAACAAAAAATAAGTGAGAAATCCCCTCCCCCCCCCCCCCCCCCCCCCTCCCCCCAAATAGACTTAGCTTGGACCGTCTTTGACAAAAGATACAAAAGACCCTCAACACAAATAATGAATAAATAGTGCGAGAGAGGGTCACCCTGACGTAAATTCCTTACGGTATAATCAACTCAAAAAGATCCCCATTAACCACCACATGATACCTGACTGTGGAAACACACATCATGATAAGCTCAATCCAGTCATCTGCAAAAGCCCATACAACTCATGATTTCCTTTAAGTAGTGCATCTCCATTCGGTCATACGCCCTTGGTCATATATAATTTAAGGGCAATCCAACCCGCATTCTCATTCTGTTTACGTTTAAGATAATGCACAATCTCATATGTTATGAGTACATTATCAGTAATTAACCGGTCAGGGATAAAGGCACTTTGGGTGTCCAAAATAATATAATCATTAATATATTTATCTATTAATTAATTATTTATAATACATGGGAGTATATATTGAGGGAAGGAATAAAATGGAGGACAATTCTAGTTGAGTTGGTCGGATAATTAATTTATTTGATAACCACAAAATTTTAAGTTTAATTCCTTATAGGATATGTCTATTGGCATTCTTAGTATGAGTCAATCAGTTATGACCTTATGGGTAACTTAGGTTGGTTTACCTCCTTGTGGTTCATTGTCAGTTAAGGCAATCATTATTACATGGACCATGGTCTACACAATTGTGTAAATCATAAATAAAAAGTAGATTTTTAATAAACTAAATGTACATTTTTTGAAAGTACATTTTTAATATATTAAGGATACATTATTTTATATAATGTACCTTCAATATAAAAATAATGTATTTTTAATATATTAAAAATGTACCTGATATTTATAGTTCACACAATAATATGTCCAATTAAGATCACAATATGAGTTTCATCTTCGCGTAATGACTCCATGCTTTTTCGTAAATCAAAAGGAGGAATAAAATGGCCCAAAATGGAATAAAGTTTGTTGAATGCTAGCCCATTAAACTACCGCAAAGATTAACAATGGAGTCTCACACAACCATAGTGATAAACCACAAATATGTACATTGTGAAATGAATTTGTAACATAATTAAAATGTTATTTTATTGTTGTTATAATTAACTTGTGTTTATAAAATGAAACTTGGACCATAGCCGGTAGTAAAAATTTATTCATTATTGGTCCATACAAGTTGTGAGGACCATATTTTGTCTACTATAAAATAATGTATATTCAGTATAAAAATAATGTATATTCAATACAAAAATAATATATATTATATTCAGAGGATATACATTATTTTTGTTCTGAGAGTACATTATATTATATAATGTATATTTAATACAAAAATAATGTACATTTAATATATTAAAAATATACTTTTTATTATGGTTCATATAACATTGTATGGACTATGGTCCACACAATAATTTGCTGTAAAAATTGTCAACAAATAGGTTTTGTCGTTTTGGGCTTTTAATTAAAAGCGGAGTGTTATTAATTGTTTGGTTCATCAGTGGCAATTTATATCGTGTACCATGGCGCACATAGTAATGTGCGCTTAGGCACAAAATGCGCGCGTTCATGTTGATGTCACTTCGTCTATCCGAAATAGACCAAACATCATTATGTGTATTCAGTTAAAATTTTATGTGTATTATGTTATGAGTTTATGTGTATTCAGTTAAGAGTTTATGTGTATTATGTTAACAAAATCCATTATGTGTATTTAGTTAAAAGTTTATGTGTATTGTGTATTGTGTTATGAGTTTATATGTATTATGTATTATTATGTTAGATTATGTGTATTATGTTATGAGTTTATATGCATTCAGATTTTTTTTTTTTGTTTTGGGAAAAGGGTCAAATAGACCCTTAAACTTTAGCTTAAAAGTCAATTAGGCCCCTAAACTTTTTAAAGGTGCAATTACACCCATCAACAATTCATTTAGGTGCAATGAAGCCCAAAATCAGGTTAATGACCTGCTATCACAGGTCATTAGGGTTCAGGCCACCTTTCGATGAATTTTTCGACAAAAAAAAAATGACATTCTTCGTGACCGGCGACCGTTTGTCGGGCGTTGGTCACTTTTTTTTTGCTGGAAATTTCGTCGGTCGGTCGCCGGTAACTTTTTTTTTCTGCCGGAAAATTCGTCAGAAGGTGGCCTGAACCCTAATGACCTGTGATAGCAGGTCATTAACCTGATTTTGGGCTTCATTGCACCTAAATGAATTGTTGATGGGTGTAATTACACCTTTAAAAATTTTAGGGGTCTAATTGACTTTTAAGCTAAAGTTCGAGAGCCTATTTGACCCTTTTCCTTTTTTTTTTTTTTTTTTTTAATTTTAACAAAACCACGTCATTTTGGAGGTACTGGCGCAGAGTATAACAATTGTTCATCAGTTGCTCTCTCAATCAACTGCCATATCTAAAATTGCATTCGTCTTCTTCAAATTTCTACAGAACGGAGTATTTATATTTTAATCAGAAATTTGATCTAACAGCTTAGAGGAGAGAGTGTAAATTCGCAATATAATGGAGAAGAACATCGAAAGTCACGAATTCAAGCTTCTGCTCTCGTGCCCCTCCGGTATCTCCCCTGCTCAGGTATAGCTTAATTTCAAGTGTTTGCATTTATGTTCTTTGTTAGAAGAATATTTGTGCGTATATTGATTTTGATTTTGAATGATTAAAGATGTCAGTGGCTTTCGATCAAGCTTACGATAGGATTCCGCATCCAGATCCTGCATTGGAAAGTTCCATTTCTGAGGTTAACATTTTCTCCTCTTTGCTTGAATATTTTGTGAATATAAGCACGATTTTGAATTCCAATGCCTCTTTTACTGCAACAGATTGTAAGATGAATAGATGATTGATTTATCTCATTGAGTATGCAAAGTATAATCTTTTATATTCTGCCCCTCATCATAAGTATAGTTCATTTATGTTCTTTTTTGTACAAGCATACTGAAAGTTTTGCTCCTACAGTCCTACTGACACATTATGATGTCTAACTCTTACTGGAGTGTGTTTTTTTGGTTAGATATGGGACCAAAGAGTTCAACAAAGCCCGTCATTGTTCAATGGTCTAAAGTTTAGGGTATGCCACTTCTCTCTTTCATTGGTTGCAAATCTTGCAATTTAGGAAATGCTGATGATTTGTTTGATCAGTTCTCATTTTTTATATTTAACCAAACATTATGATGCCATCTAGATCCCCACTGTTTTTTGTTTTTATCTTTGCAATTGCAATGATTTCTAGGAGAGTAGTAGAGCTGGTGACTAAAAGACTTTGGCATCCTGAATGATCTATTAAATTTTTATTGGATTATTCTTAACAGGATGTGTACAATTCAATGATCTGTAAACCTTATTTTTCTTAAAAAAAACAATTTATTGTTTCAGTATGGAGGATTCACTTTCAATTCCATGAATGATTCTCAGCAAGAGCCCCATGTTTCCCTTCATCTTGGTCTGACGGATTATAGGTTCTCATTTGTCTCTTCCCTCAATTCATTCATTGCCCCTTTAACTTTCCCTTTGTATCTCTCAAGTAAATAAATATTGGGGTTGGGGTTGGGGGATGCTGCAAGCTTATAATTGATTTTTTTTTTGGGAGGTTCTTTTTGAGAAGGGTAAAATTGGATTTACTTTGCTCTGTTTCAGTCTAAGTGGATGCATTTTACTTGTAACAGTTATTTCACTGGTCAGCTTCATGTTAAAATGCTTCTCTGCAACTTTTCCTTGGACAACATAAAAAATCATGAAACTTTGAAAGAACTTATCCTCTTATACTGAATATGACCTTTTTTATGCAGGACATTTGTGGGCACCAACTTGAGTCCTTTGTGGGAAAGATTTCTTGTTCAATCTGAAGGTAGAAACTGAATGAAATTCATGTTGTTTGTTTCTAGTACATAACTTGGTGTACTTGTTTAAGTCTTCAACAGTCTGCTGATTTCTATCTCTGTATTGCATAAAAGTGCCCAATAGCATCAAATTTATAATTTTCAGTTTTGATGGATATACGCATATATGTGGCATTCCTATGCCACATGATTTGTTTGTCTGAATTACATAATTATTAAGTATATAATCCAGTTATGTGCTCAAAACAATTCCTTCCTTCATATTAGATGACTGCAAGCAGTGTCAGCATACATCAAGTCCTCTTGGCAATGGTGCAATTGTTGAGACATCTGACAAAAAGATACTTGTGCTTAGAAGAAGTAATAGGGTGGGAGAATTTCCAGGATATCTTGTTTTCCCTGGAGGCCACCCAGAGGTATATAAGATTTTCCAGTGTAATAAAGAATTAGTTGCAGGATACACTTTAGAATCTCACATTCTTATATGCATGTTGCCGTGTGACTAAGATAAAATATTGGACTCAATTTCCAATGCATTGTCAAATTAAGGAGAATCTAGACATTCACTTATTTCACATGTCATCTTCTATTCTCCTCCCACATGGTTTTCTTTGTCCTCCCTTTGCTGCCATTCCAATTTGCTATGTTATACAGTTGTAACCACAAAAAAACTGACTAATGTTAATATTTAGTTACTGGTAGTTGTTTTGATGTAGTTTTCCACTCGCACATAACTAACAATGTGAGAGTAGAAATTCTCTTAGGATTGGAATAATGGTTATTCTTATTAATTTAGAATTTTTGTTCTCTATTTCATTCATGTTTCTTGTACCTGCGCTCTTCATGAGTTAACAGTATAAAGGGTTTCCATGTCTAATTATTTGCTAGACAATAAATATTGACTTTGTCAGTCACAGTTGATTAAAGGCTTTTCAATGTTATGCTGTACTTGGAAATCCTCAATTGCACTGGGTATTATAGTGTTGTTGTAGTTAGATTAGCTGCACTCTCTATGCTCTCCAAATATTTGTTGGTTGATTAGGTGTACTTTTCAATTTAACAGCCCAATGAGGGTGGAGTGACATGCCATAAGAGTGATATGGACCTGAATCACAGTGATATAATTAACAGGAAGGTTTCTGAAGAAATGTTTGATAGCATTGTCCGTGAAGTTGTAGAAGAAACAGGAGTGCCTGCAGCGAATCTAGTATGTGGAAACTCATTTTGCACTCTCTCTCTCTCTCTCTCTCTCTCTCTCTCTCTCTCTCTCTCTCCCTTTTAAATGCTGTTCCATTATTTTTACTTGCCAGAACTCTGGTTTTGGTTTTAATTTGTTCACTTGTATTTATTTCTAGTGTCTGTTTATATAATTTACTATGCCTATAAGTTAGGCCCTTTTATGCTAATGAGGCCTTTGACCTAATTGCAAAAAGCTGGAGGTCCCATGTCCTCTCCACTTGGAGAGCTCATGGGTTCAACTCCTACCTGGAACACCGATGGGAGTTGAACTTTATCCCTCTGCATTTACGGTGTTTGATCCCAATTTAATTTGGAGTATTGCATAAGACTTTAATTGTACTTGAGGCTTTTGTAATTGTAATTGCTGGGCATTCATCAGTTATAATCTTTGTGATTGAGTTGTAATCATCACCGTCTTTAACAAAAAGAGGCCTTTTATCCCATTTAAGAAAAGAAGTTATATGTTATGTATTAGCCTGATGTTGCCTTGTGTCCCTTGATTAAATGCCTTCCGCCTAGGTAAGTGTTAATCTACCCTGCACCTCAGCAGCTATTGGTGATAACAACTTAAAACTTACCTAATTTCTTGTAAATGCCTCTCTAACCTTGGCAAAATTAAACTTCACTGGAAATTGGGTGGGAAGCATTGATATTTCCAATTATAGTGAGGATATTAAAATTACTTTTAGGGGCGTTTGGTTCACGGAATCTTGGATTACCCCAGGTAATAGGATTACATACAAGCAGGTAATGTGAGATTTTGGGAATGTAAAATTACCTTATCTTGGTTTGGATTGTAGGAATATAATATTATCTTGTTTAGTTAAGGGTTATATTTTAGTTGAGGAAAAATTGGAATATTTCAAGGTAATCTTAGATTACGTAAGAAAATAAAGGTAATCACCCGCCACATAAGCTTTGAGGTAATATAACATTTCCAGGTAATCTCATAACTTGAACCAAACACGGTAATATAACATTACCAGACTCACATTAGGTAATCTAGGATTACCTGAACCAAACGCCCTAGAATAATATAAGTATTCTGTTTTCCAATTTCAGTAGTACAAAAACTTGCATCTTAAGAAATTGGCTTTTTATTTTTACTTTGTTAGGTAATTGAAAAATTAATTCTGGCCATCTATGGAGTTAGTGATCAATCGATTATTAAATTATTAAAGGATCTCTGATTTAATTATTGAAAACATTTATTGCATGCTCCTATTGTAGGGAGACTGAGATCTGCATACAAAAATTACTTTTTTGCAACTTTTCATGCAAGATTGCAGTTATAAGTTTCAACTTCAGTCCCTGATACATTTTTCTCTGGTTGCAGTCCAGTCCCATCTTTATTGGTGTATCACGAAGGGTGTTGAATGTTAGACCAACTGCTTTTTTCTTCATAAAATGCAATCTTCAGTCAAATGAAATTCAGCATCTATATTGTAATGCAGAAGACAGTTTCGAATCAACCCAACTGCAAGCTGTTTCAATGGTTAATCTATGCATCTCCTTTTAATTGTGTTTCATTTGGCATCTCAAATTCTGATTTTATTTTATCTCTATTAACCAATATATACACATTTGATGACATATTTAGCTTGTTCTACTATTAGAACTTTGGTAAGATGTTTGCAATTCCACCTTCTTGGTAACAACACCAGCATAAGAAGTCATCTTTTTGATACAAGAATACTAATTGGAAATGAAGCTCATTTATAGAAATTGTGATTGAAGTTCATTAACTACAACTTGGGTTAAAAGCGCTTCTTTTTATTTTATTTTTTAAATACTTAATTTGTAGGTTATGTTTACCATTTTCAATTGATGTTAATTTGGGTTCTTGTACTTGACAAGGAACTACATTGCAGTGCTTAGTTCTCTTGATCTAAATTAATATTATGTGTTAATAATAACAACTACTACAACAACCACAAATATGCTCATATTTCTCTGTTTTCTCCCCTGCCATGTTGTTTTCCCTCTATTGGATTGTTATGAAATATTCATTCATGAACTGTTCTTTGTATCAGAGTGATTTGGAGAGCATGGGAAATAAAATGCCAGGGTGCCACAGTGGAGGACTTGAACTGTACAAATTAATGCACAAGCCTTGACAGAGAACTAATGTTGTGGAATCAAACCTTAATGGTTTTTCTATCCTATAAAGCTCGATCTATTAATATGTAATTGTGAGTTTCTATGAAAATCTCTTCCTGTGTCAGCCACTGAGTTGGTAAACAGGTACACATCATGACACCAATATAGAAACTTATGTTGGCATGTCAATTTATTGTTCTTCTGTATAAATTGATGGTAAATGCAATTGCATCATGCTATTAGTTATTAATTATTTCCTTGGACAAAGTCAAGATGGTGATGTATTTATTACTTCAAGCCCTTTATCATGCATTTACTAAAATTTTACTAAGAATATTATTCTGTGTATATGTCAGTGTCTTTCCTTAGTCATAAAAGCATTGCTTCATTTGATGTACATCAATTCAGCAATTGGATATATTTTATATCTCATGAACCAAACTTGGTGAAATTGTGTGTGTCTATACATACATTCATTCACACACACACACACACACACACACACACACATATATAATATATGTATTAATAGAGACTTCTATAGAGTCCAATGCATGATGTAGTTACCCCTTGATGTTGAAAATTAACTTTGTTCAATGGGATTAGAGTTTTCTAACAAATCTGTGGAGCATATACCATGGGTATTTTGTTTTTGGTCTACTTTTAGGACAAATAGAAAGCTACGACTGAAACTCATAACTTATGACTATATTCTTCATTTTATCTTGGTAAATCAATGTTACATTACCAATCATTTAAGTTCATCCAAGCTAGAAAAAAGAGGGTATCTTGAAAATCTGTGTTTCATACTTCTTGGTTGATAAGTTGAATGTTCAGGAGTAGTCAAAATGTGCTAGATTCACCCATAGTTATCATGGCGTCGCCTAGGCAACGCCTTGGCGTCCTGTCGGTGGAGACAGGACGCCTGGAGACCTGGAGTGCTCGCCTCGCCTGAAAGTGGCGAGGCGAGCTCCGGCGTCGCCACCGCCGTCCAGCCGCGGAAACCCAACCCTTTTTAAAAAAAAAAAAATTAAAAAATGGTAGACCTAAAACCCTAATAAGCATAGAGAAGAGAGAAGAAGAACGTCGCCCTCCCGCTCCGTCGCCGTCCGACACTCCGACTGGTGTTTCTTCTTTCTTCTTCATTTCGCAGTAGGCAGTCTTCTTTCTCGCTGACTTGAGAGCATTCTTTCTCTTTGTTTGGGTTTATAAACCCAATAAAATTATTACTTTAAGGCTGGCAGTGGGGTTATTACTTTATGCTGGCAGTGCCACTTGTATATTATATATATATATATTACGGTAGTGGGCAGAGGCAGTGCTCACTGCCTACCACTTGTAACATATATATATATATATATATATATATATATATATATATATATATATATATATATATATATATATTATATTAATTTTTAACTTGTCGCCTAGTCGCCTAGGCGGCAAGGCGGTCTGGGGGCGCCGCGACTTAACAGGGCGCCGTGATAACTATGGATTCACCATTGGTGGAGGCAGTTATTTACAGATCCACAAATTATATATCTGTTTCTCTTTTGTATTTCTTGGAACCCTCAGCAATTTTGTTCATTTCTATTAATTAGGTCTGAACCTTGTGCATTGGGAGAGTTCCCCAAATCTAGGGATAAGTCCAAAGCTAAGCTAACCCTTTTGGACCTAATGTTTGTCATGACTAGTATGTGAACACTGCCCATAATCAAATATCCATTTTTGGATGAGCCTATGAGGAAAACATTCTATACTGCAGTTTGCTTCAGTTGTCTGATCTGAACGATTTGTTTGTTTCTCAGTCAATTATGGAGGTTAGTTCATCATGGTCAACCAGAAGCATTTAAAGGTCTAGGTACAATACTAGAATATATAATTTTTAATTTTGGGGTTGTTGAGAACTGTTAAATGGTGATATCATTTAATTGCTGATATATAATTTACACAGTTGGTTTATTGGTCAGTCCATTGAATATTTATAATTAAAAAAATATCTGAAATTTTGACTCATTAAAGCTGTGATTTCTTTGTTGTTCCAAGTAGGTTATTGGACTGATGAGCTTGAGTGGGGGTAGCTAGGCTGGTGTAGTATGAACATATTTCATTTAATCGCCCTGTGAATGGTTTATTGTGGAGTCTGATTGTTTTAATTTTTGTACTAGTTTCAATTCTGATAGACAAGACTTTTCGCATGTTGGTTTAGTTATTAAGCAGTGTCGTATGATTGCTTGTGACATCAGGAACATTTTGGTTCGTCATGTCAAAAGGTCAGCGAATTATGTGGCTCATGTGCTTGCACGGGTAATTGATTCTTCTTCTGTCCCTAGTTGTATTTCGACTTTGCTTTAATAAATTTGTCTTGATTTGTGTAAAAGGAATCACATAGAGGACGTCTCTCTCAAGAATTTAGTCGATGATGATGACTACCAGGTGCTTTCATTATCATTAATTTCGTTCTTATTGCTAATTATTATATGTGCAGTGTGGGTAATGTAAATGAAAGAAATTTGATTAGTGATACATTATTTAATCAGCTCAATAAGGTCAATACATAACCAGGTAAGTCTGTGGATGTCCCTTTCAGTTCAAACGTTTCTGGTTCTTTAATTGCTATAAGGTTCCTCAGTCAACCTAGCTGTTCTGCGTTTTATGTTCATGCATGATTCATGTGAATTGATTTTTGTCGCTCTCTGATTATTGCCAGTGGAATTATTACAGTCCAAGTCGATTAACCTACAGGGCTTTTTTAGCTTATGATTTTTGAACTTTTTTCATTAGTTTTTTCTTTTATTTATTATTATAAATTATTTATCAAACAGTTAAGATTTGTGATACAATTGTGGGCAAATTATATCGTGCACCTTGGAGTTCACCTTGTAAGATGGGTTGTGATACACATTTTTAATTGATTCATTATATTTCATTATTTTGATATATGGTTTATTTTGAGAATACTGCATGTTCATTTTTAGTGTACTGCAAGTCTAAATGAACTTGTAGTATATTAAAAGCATACACTATACTGAAAATGAACTTGTATCATAATTTTATCTTGTTACATGAACTCTAGTCATGGTATAAGCATTGACAATTGTGTAGACTAATGCGAACCAATTACCCAAACGATGTGACTAATGCTAGTTGAAAGTTGAAAATGATGTCTTAATTTTATTTTTATTTGAGTAAATACTCAAAATGGTCCCTCGACTATAGCTAAATTCACAAATTGGTCCTCGACTTTCAATTTCACCCAATTAAGTCCTTAACTTTGTAATTTTGACACGATTTGGTCCTCCATCTATTTGACCATTTGTTGACTGTGATTTTTGAGGATATATATGTAATTTTATGGTCCACCATCGGTTTTTTAAGGTTCCGGTTGCATTTTCAGACCGCACTGTTACATTTGAATCCACTGTCGAAAGCAATCTGGCAAAATTCGGTCGTCTTTCTTCATCCTCCGTTTGGATTCAATGTAGTTGAGTTCGTACCAGAGCGAAGAAGACAGCGTGTTTTCGAACCAGTGCAACATCATCCTAGAGGCCTCCACGTGCTCCGACGAGAGCTGAAGGTTCTTCTGGAGATCGTCGATCACGGTTAACAAACGGTCAAATAAATGGAGGATCAAATCATGTCAAAATTGTAAAGTTAAGGACTTAATTGGTTGAAATTGAAAGTCGATGACCATTTTGTGAATTTAGCTATAGTCGAGGGACCATTTTGAGTATTTACTCTTTTTATTTTCCCATCAAACCTAAATAATACAATTGGGTTTTATTGTTTTTAACAAAAATAAAAGCTATGATGAGGTATTTTAAATTGACAAAATAATGTTACATTTGTGGTTTATTAACCTATACATTTTCTTACATCTACCATTGATATAAACTTTCCTCATGATTTATAGTTAGTTATGATTTACAATAAAAAATGAAAACAACAAAAACTAACCATACAAAAATAACCACATCAAGGAAATTGTGTGATTTTTGTAAGAATGAAAAGCATTTCTGTTAAATATATTATTATTATTTGAAGATTATTGTTTTCAATTGGCTGTCTCTGACCATACGTATAATTTTTTTTTTTTTTCGTATAAGTTAAGGGTCCGTTTGGAAAGCAGGAAAATGAATTTTGGAAAATGTTTTCTGGAAAATGAGTCATTTTCCGGAAAACAATTTCCTTTCCAGTGTTTGGTTGCATTCTGGAAAACTGCTTTTGTGTGTTTGGTTCATTTTCTGGAAAATGAGTAGAATTGTATAATTAAACATTTTAATTATTTTATTTAGAATATTACAACATGTATAATAATATAATAATAATTTTAAATATATTAAAAAATAACTAATAATATATCAAAAATATTATGGTGGTGGTGGTGGTGTAGTGGTAGTGGTGTTATTTGTTATATAATAATAATAATAATAATAATAATAATAATAATAACAATAATAATAATAATAATAATAACTGGTGGTGGTATGACGGTGGTAGCAGTGGTGGTGGTGGTGATGGTGTGGTGGCGGTAGTTGCAGTGGTACGGTGGTGGTGGTGGTGGTGGTGGCGGTGGCGGCGGTGGTGGTTGCGGTGGTATGGTGGTGGTGGTGGCGGCGGTGGTGGTGTGATGGTGGTGGTGGTGGTGTCGGTGGTTGCAGTGGTATGGTGGTGGCGGCGGCGACGGTGGTTGCAGTGGTATGGTGGTGGTAGTGGCGGTGATGTGATGGTGGTGGCGGCGGCGGTGGTGTGATGGTGGTGGTGGTGGCGATGGTATGGTGGTGGCGGCGGCGGTGGTGGTGGCGACGACGGCGACGATGATGGTAGTGGTGGTGGTGGCGGCGGCGGTGGTGGTGGTGTGATGCAGTAGTGGTGGTGATGGTGGTAGTGAGGTGGTGGTGGTATGGTGTTGATGATGTTGGTGGTGGTGTGATGTTGGTGTAAAAGTTGGAAAATGACTTCCCCCGAAAAAAGGGGAAGTTATTTTCCTCCAAAACAAGCTTATTTTCCAAAGTCAACGGAAAATGATTTCCGTTGACTTGATTTTCCAAGCACATCCAAACAATGAAAACTTGGAAAATAATTTCCAGAACTCATTTTCCAGGTTTCCAAACACACCCTAAATGAAATGTTTGTTCATTAGCCACGCTTTGACCGGAAAATTAGCCCTTTTAGCATACACAAAGTATCGTTTGACTGACAATTGAAAGCGACCTTTAATTAGAGGATTAAACATAAATTCTTTAGCAGTGTAATTTCATACTCTTTTTTTTTTTTTTTGAAAGGTGTAATTTCATACTTCTAAATTCTAATCTTTCTTCTTCTTTCTTTTGTTTTTTCCTCCCCCCTTTATTTGATTTTCTTCCGTTTGTGTCACATAAATCTTGAGCAGAGTACCAGACAACTTATATGTTAAATTAATGTTTTTTTTTCACAATTTTATTATTAAAAAAGACCATAGAAATCTCCAAGTGATAATTATTGAAATATTGAAATAAATGATACACACAAGAAGCATTAAATACTCGTTATAACATTGACTTCAATTTGCGGGCAATGTGGTAATTAGTCAAACGTAAACATCCAACGTTATGTTTGATGCGTCGGCCCAGAAAATTTTTATTCATAATAAATAAAATGATAAGATTGGAGGTTTTTTTTTTTTTTTTTTTTTTTTTTTTTTTTTTTTTGCGAACCAAAACTCGGGACGTTATGCCATGGAACCGTGTTCTAACGGTGTTTGTACACCGCTATCTTTTTTTTTTTTTTTTTAATTAATTGTGTGACTTTTCTTCTTTATTTTCAAATTTTGCGGTTTCACTTTAATTTGAGGTGAACAAAGATTTCGGACATTCATAAATTATGAATACATGCCTGCACATTCACTTTGGAACCATGCCTACACATTCCCGTCCGAAATCACGGACATTCATAAATTATGAATCCATGCTTGCACATTCACTTTGGAACCATGCCTACACATTCACATTGGAACCATGAGATTATGAATTTTCTGTTATAAGATTATGAATTTTCTGTTATGAGATTATGAATTTTCAGTTATGAGATTATGAATTTTCTGTTATGCGATTATGAATTTTCTGTTATGAGATTATGAATTTTCATTACATTCATAATTTCGGACATTCATAAATTATGAATTCATGCCTGCACATTCACTTTGGAACCATGCCTACATATTTCCGTCCGAAATCATGGACATTCATAAATTATGAATCCATGCCTGCACATTCACTTTAGAACTATGCCTACACATTCACTTTGGAACCATGAGATTATGAATTTTCTGTTATAAGATTATGAATTTTCTGTTATGAGATTATGAATTTTCAGTTGTGAGATTATGAATTTTCTGTTATGCGATTATGAATTTTCATAAAATTCATAATTTGATCAAACGCGCGTCGTTAACTCCACATCCGCGAATTTTTGTTTTTTTGCCTAAAAACGACGTCGTTTTGCCTTGTGTTCACCATTCTCGGTGAACACGTTTCCATGGCATAATTTGCGCCAAAACTCTTGACTGTCTGATATCTGCTTTGAGCGAGTCAATGAAGGAATTCTTTGAGAGAATATGTCACGTGGGTTTTACACGTGTGCCGAACAATACCGCTGTATGCTGCAGTTTTTTTGGGGTTTGTGTCTGCTGCAAATCTTATCTATCTTCCAACTTACATTATAAATTAATAATACTGGGAGAAATTATTATTACCGAATTTTATTTGAGTCTAATTCAATTAAAAATGTTTAATTGAAGTTACTTACAAATAATTTTTTTTTTTATAATATTAAGTTTAATATTAGTATATAAAATTTATATGTTGAAAGTAAGTAAAAATAAATAAAATTTTAAAAATAATAAAATATATTTTTTAAAGAAATAAGTAAAGAAGAAATAATTGATTTAATCCATAAAAAATAAACATAAAAAGTAAAATGTGGTAATTAGAGAGATGATGCGATGAATTACTTCATCAATAACGCATCCTTCCCCAAGATTATAGTTAGGAATAATTGTATTTATATTTTGATGAGTCAAAATGTACTTTAATTTGAAAAATTAGAAACCCAAAATTTATAAATGTATTAGTGTCAACTTGGATGAATTCTTGAAGAAGGAAGAAACTTTGTTCAAATCCCATGGAGATCAAATAAATTGAAGTAGCAATGGAGACAATTTATCCAAGTAGCCAAGTTAGTAGAAGACTTGATAGGAAAACATGAAGAAGATGGAGCAAGTTTCGAATCTCGAGTCTCGACTGCAAAAAAATTAAAGTAGAAGACTTGATATATATATAGCATGGTAGCACAAGTTTGATGAAGAAGGAGCATGGAATAAATAAATCAAGTAGAAGAGACTTGATAGCAAAGGTTGTAGAAGTTGAAGTAGACGAAATGGTAGAAGAAGTTGAAGGTTCACAACACACTTGGTAGCAAAGATGGTAGCAAGGATTGGTAGAAAATTAAAGCTTGGAGCAAAGAATAAAGATTGGAGTATATCTGGAGATCATTAATTAGAGAGGATGATCACTACACATCAGAATATATCAACTTGTATTAGAGAAAATTTCAATTTTGGTCATATGACTATAGGGGCTTTGTTAATTTCAACACCTGACTTTCAAAAGTGTCAATTTAGTACCTTGACTATGCAATTTTTATCAATTTTGGTCACTCTGGTCAAATTGTCAGTCAAATTTCGCCGAAAAATTTTAACAGTTAAAATAATGAGAGTATTTTTTCCGGTGAATTCATCTTTTCCGACGAATTCAACTTTTAACTGTTAAAATTTTCTGACGAAATTTGGCCGACAATTTGACCAGAATGACCAAAATTGATAAAAATTGCATAGTCAAGGTACTAAATTGATACTTTTGAAAGTCAGGTGCTGAAATTAACAAAGCCCCTATAGTCAGATGACCAAAATTGAAATTTTCTCACTTGTATTAGAATACAAGTTTCTTTATGCAAGTTCCAAGGAAAGGATATCAAAGTCAACAAAACATGAAATTTCAACATGTCAGATAAGCAACTAACAACTTAGCCGAAGGTGAAGATTAAATTGTCAACTTATCAAATCAAGCTACAACTGCTAAGAATTCAAAAATCAAATTATTCCACTCCAACAGTTATATTTGATTATTTATTTTAAGGGTATTTGGTACATGGACTAAATTAACAAAATAGGTAAAAAAACTAAATTGAAAAAAAAAAAATACTATATTACAAGGACCTCGAAACTATCATTATCTTTTATAAATTTGAACTAAGAAAATATTTATTCAATCATATAATCGGGGCTTATTAATACAACTGCGAATGTTACATTCTTAATGTATACATTAGCGTCATGTTAAACAGTTGTAAACTAGAATTTCTCCTTAAATAAGAATTAAATTCTATGTACGTCAGCGCTATATACCTATATTAGAAGTCAATTTCCATTTACACACAAATATTTTAAAAAATAAGGCCATGTTTTATTTACACACAATATTTAATCAATGTTGAGATGGCCGAGTTGGTCTAAGGCGCCAGATTAAGGTTCTGGTCCGAAAGGGCGTAGGTTCAAATCCTACTCTTAACATACATGTTTTCTATTTATGCCCATAAAAAAGGTCAATGATTCAGAAACCTAACCTGTTTGTACAATAACTTCCATTATCTGCCATGGGCATGCTGCAGATTCCGATTCTGTAATTATTCTTCATATCATATGCTGCCGATCAGAAGGGGACACAATTATGTTTTCATTCAATTTTCCTCATTTTTTTCCTTAATTAATTGCTCAAATTCAGGAATAAAATATGTATACCTATAAAATCACGTCACGAATAATGCTGTTAATTCTTTTTTTTTTTTTTTTTTTTTTTTGGAGAATCTTGTTTTTTTTTTTTTTTTTTTTTTTTTTTTGAATTTTATATTGGATTAAGCAATTAATCAAAATCAATTTAGGTAAATTAGTTTGGATAGTTATATGTCCAGCAACTGCCGGGTATATTGGACCTATTTGATCCAAAATAACAAATTGAAGGGTCTAATTGTACATTTTAAAAGTTGAAGGGTCTAATTGCTCTTTTACCTATAATTTAAGGGTCTATTTGACTCTTTTTCCTTTTTTTTTTTTTTTCGATTTGTGTGTATCATTATCGCACTAAGGCTGTAAGGGTCACGTCGTTAATCTTCATTATGTTGTTTTGTTTGCATATGATAGAAGTAAAATAAACATGATTATTATACAGTGATGTAGGTTAATATGGCAAAGAAACAAATGTATAGTAGGTAGGTCCAAGTGTGAAAATTTTCATTCACTTTCTACAAAAACATTTCCTTTTTGCCATGCAAGGCATCGTGCTTTGTTGGCAATCTGGATGAATCCTTTCAATATCCATTCTCACTTTTCCGTGCCGTGGACCCCAAAACTTCAAAGAAAATTTTCATTGCATGGCCCATATATGCATGCATCTTGGCATTTTGGTCAATAACAAACTATGTGTGTTGTGTGTTGAACCGGGCTAATTAGAGAGTCGAGTTTAATATCATGTTGTTGAGATGTGACGTTGATTGTTATACAAGTATACGAAAATAAAGTTGTGTTTTCGTTACTAGTTACAGTTTTTGGCATAATGATAGTCACTTAATCTAACATAAGTATAACTCGTTCGGTTCCCTCAGTAGCTCTCCACACCGATTGTTTTGGTCCTACAACGCCACATCTCTTGTTCGGTAACTACACTTAGATCGTATGTTGGGGTGGTAATTGATGAATGCAAAGCCTTGATGTCTTCGTTTATTTCATGTTCTTTATTTTCTGTTTCTAGACAATTGAATTCAGTAGCACACTCTTTAACTTCAAAAGTCTCTACTCAGGTTAGTTCTTTGTACTGGGAACTGTCCCTCTTGACTTTGTTTTATCCCTTTTGCAGCAATTCAATTTTTGCTGTTTGCTTTCAAAATATATATATATATATATATATATATATATATATATATATATATATATATATATATATATATATAAAGATAAGTATACGAGATGTGTTGTATTTTCTTAATATATGAGTGATAAAGTCTAGATATACCTCCTCAACAATCTAACATCTATCTTTAATTTCTGACCAGCCAATTCAAACAACCATATTTAATACTTATAATCCAATTTGTATTTATTCTCTCCATTTTCTCAAATATTTTGTACGTAAAAAAAAAAAAAAAAAAAAAAAAAAAAAAAAAAAAAAAAAAAAAGAACTAATTTACTTGTATCATATTGTTATTCAAAACATACATTTTAACTTAGATTTAAATTTTTAGCAATTTATTTTACCCGTACCATTTTAGTCCTCCGAGTATATATTGTAGTTTTATCACTTTTGATTTTTGTTTTTAAAACTTATTTTGGTCGTTCAAGCTAGTATTGGTTCCAAGCTACTTTTAGTCCTCTAGTGATTTTTTTTTTCTTAAATCAAAGTAGTCATTTTAAACAAGATAAAAAATGTAATTTCATTATCTAAAATGACAAAGTCATTACACTCAAACCACTGGAAATGATATCAACTCTAATCTTTATTTTACCAAGTGCTCTATAAAAAGAGAAGTTGATAGTAAAAAAAAAAAATTGTTTACAAAATTCGAATTACTTATTTATAGCTCTTTATTAATATCTAATAAAGAATCATACATATAATACACACCAAAGTGTACTGTATGTTAAAGTTTAATTCAAATTTATCATTAAATTACAACGCAAACGGCACAAAATTCACCATTTACTAGGATTCTTGATTCTTCTTGGAGCTGAGAAGATACCTTCTTTGCGAAGATATATCTCAACTTACAATATATTAATGTGGAGATTGGAAAAGTGAAGCTAAAATAGAATATAAAGAAAAGAAGAGGGGCAAAATTCGTATTTAAAAAGATTGGATCGCATTAACTTCACATGCACCCTTCATATATAAAAAAGATGACCTTTAAAACTCTGATTCTGCGGGGTCCCCTCAATTCATTTCCCTCTACGCTAAGGAAAATAACCTAATTCTACCTTCAAATCTTCAATTTTTAACAAAAAAAAACTTGTAACCACTATCTGATAATGTATACTAAATAATTAAAAGTCGAACTTGAAATTTTGTTGTTATTAAACCTAACTGTAAACCAATAGGCCGCTCTCATTAGGTGTCGTGAAACCTTGTAATTACTATGCTAATTGTCGGACCAACTTGACTAGGATTGTTCACATTTTATTTTTCTGAGCGAGTATGTGATGGATGGCCAACCATAGTCCTACGTGGTTTATTCTGGTAAAGTATCGAAAATAATGGGGATCAATCAAATTCATTGAGACAAAACAACAACAATATCAATCCAATCAAAACAAAAAAAGGTTCGGTGGTTCCTGGGAAATATAATATAATATAATATAAATAATACATATTTCTATTTCTTTATTTTCATTTTATAAAAAATGCTGGAGCCATTATGCTTGCACAATTTGCCATTTTCTGATTCCCTGCCAACCCACAAATATAGTTCTGGTATTATCGTTATTCTTCATTTATACTTGCCACCCACCACTGGCTTCATCTTTTTCTTTTCCAATTTAGACAATATTAATAAATATTAATAATAATTAATACAATAATAGTAATAATAATATGATTAGTTTAGGATTCTAATGTATTCAAACCCATGGGTCATCTTCATCATGACCAACTTTACAAGAAAAAGTCTCCATTTTTAACTCAGGAGCTTTCAGAGTGGCACTGTGATTTTCAGACACTTTATTATACTATATACGTGTGATTCTTGATTTATTTTTATGTGGTGAATAGCAGCATAAAGGTGCAGTTTTTGCCAAGGTGAATTCATCTTTTTTACTTTTTTCCAGTAAATTTACAGTGGTTTTAGTTGTGCGCCATTGATATATAATCTGCCACTGGGATAAAGGAAAGACCTTCAGATCTTCAACTGGGTTTAGAGTATAAATATGCAATCAAGAGTTTTGATGTGATGAACAATGTTGTTGGCAAGGCATTCAAGATTTCATTTTTTGACTCTGTTGGAGGTAAAGAATGCGATTCTTGATCTGGGTATTTGAGGGGAGAAAAGAGGGTTTGTGTTAAAGCTTAGGAGGAGAGTTTTAGGCTAATTGATGGATAGGACGGAGGCGGCGGCGGAGCCACCCGTTGGCCGGAAAAAGATGACGAAGCAGTTGACCGGAAAGCGAGAGGATACGGCCTTGCATTCTGCAGCAAGAGCCGGGAACATTGCTTCTATGAAAGAGATAGTTCAAAACTCTGGAGAAGAAGAATTGGCAGAGGTGTTAGTGAAGCAAAATTCCGCCGGAGAAACAGCCTTATATGTGGCGGCCGAGTACGGCTATGTTGATTTGGTCGGAGAAATGATCAAGTATTACGACCTTGTGGCTGCCGGAATCAAAGCCAAGAACGGCTTTGACGCCCTCCACATTGCTGCAAAACAAGGAGATTTAGGTGCGTTTCATTCCCTTCTTATCACCAATCATCTCTGTTTTCTGTGATTCTCTGCTCTGATACCAATTTAAATGATGTCCGCTCCACCGCTCCATCTCAACTACTAAAAGTCTAAGCTGATAGTTGCTGTTTTCTGATTCTGTGTTCTGATACCAAATTGAAGTTGATAGTTGGATTGTACATTGGACACGATCCGGTATAATATGCCTGTTTTCTTAATTCTGTAGATGTTGTGAAGGTTCTAATGGAGGCTCACCCGGAGCTGTCGATGACGGTGGACGTGTCGAATACCACGGCGTTGCACACGGCTGCGACGCAAGGGCACATAGAGGTGGTGAACTATCTACTGGAGCGAGAGAGCAGCTTGGCAGCCATAGCTAAAAGCAATGGCAAAACAGCCTTGCATTCTGCAGCCAGAAACGGGCATTTACAGGTTGTGAAGGCGATTTTGAGTAAAGAACCCGGGCTGGCTAACAGGGTGGATAAAAAGGGGCAGACAGCTCTTCACATGGCAGTCAAGGGCCAAAATCTTGGACTGGTGGAGGAGCTCATCACATCTGATCCTTCATCCATAAACACTGTAGATAACAAAGGGAATACATATTTGCACATAGCAACTCGAAAAGGCCGAGCTAAGGTAACTTAATTGCTACCCGACTACCCTACTCTTTGTTATGTTCAGCAGAACTGAACTGAATGATGTGTTCCGTCTCAACTAAAAGTCTAAGCTGATAGTTGTAGTGTTTTTTTGCAGATTGTTAAGCTGTTGTTAGACCAGAGGCAAATAGATACAGTAATGGTGAATAGGTCAGGTGAGACAGCACTTGACACAGCAGAGAAAATGGGGCAATCTGATGTGGCTGCAATGCTGCAGGAGCATGGGGTTCAGAGTGCTAAAGCTATCAAGAAGCCTAAAGTGACGAATCCAGCCAAGGAATTGAAGCAAACCGTGAGCGACATAAAGCACGAAGTTCACAACCAGTTAGAGCACACGCGACAGACCAGAAGACGCATCCAAGGGATCGCGAAACGCCTGAACAAGATGCACACCGAAGGCCTAAACAACGCGATCAACTCGAACACGGTTGTGGCAGTGCTGATAGCCACTGTGGCCTTTGCCGCCATCTTCACTGTCCCGGGGCAATACGCTGATAATCCTCTCAACGTCCCCCCGGGGCTGTCCCTGGGAGAAGCCAACATAGCGCCACAGGCCCCGTTCATAATCTTCCTGGTTTTCGACTCCATTGCTCTATTCATATCCCTGGCTGTCGTGGTGGTTCAGACCTCGGTTGTAGTGATCGAAAGCAAGGCGAAGAAGCAGTTGATGGCCGTGATAAACAAGCTAATGTGGCTGGCTTGTGTGCTCATATCGGTCGCCTTCTTGGCTCTGTCATTCGTGGTCGTTGGAAAGAAAGAAAGATGGATGGCAATAGTGGTGACAGTAATAGGCACAACCATCTTGGCTACCACTCTGGGCACAATGTGTTATTGGGTGATTATGCATAGAATTGAGTCTGCAAACAAGAAGACCATCCAAATGAACTCTCAACACAGCAGATCCAGGTCCTTCTCTGTATCAGCTCTTTCAGATTCTGAAATTCTCAACAATGATTTCAGGAAAATGTATGCTATATAATCATCATCATCATCATCACTGCCCCAACACATATTTTGCTCTTTGGGGTCATGGATGTTTATGGTCTTTACTTGACATCATTTATGTATATATCTCATCTCTCTTGACTGCTCACTTTGCTTAATCAACTTTGTTCCGCGGTGACTGGGAGGGTCCAGTCCAGCATTCTGTCATCTAAATACGGCTATGATTTCTGAGCAAGTAGAAAGAAATGAAGTTGTGTCTTTGCTAATAATTATAGCTTTTGGCTTAGTGGAACGTGGAGCTAACTGTTATATTGGTAAACGTTTGATCCAATAACTTCACTTCTACTACTTTATAATAATCAAATATTTTGTAAAGAAATTAAGAAATTACAAATTACTAAACAAATTTGACTAAACAACTATGCCTTTTGTGAGGTTTGCTGATTAGCAAGCTCAGTGCTGGGTGCCGCCATTGAAACAGGTGCTCTTTTTCTCCTCGAGTGCAGTATAACGACACTAAGCACCAAACCCCAGATTATAACTCCTACCGGAATTGTTATGCCTAGTATTAGTCCAAGCTTATTCCCACCCTTTTTCTTCTTTCTTGTAGAAGATTTAGCCGGCGGTGGACTCCCAGGAGACGCCGGAATATCTTTCGTCTCACAAGACTTTCCGGTGGCACACGTATCTGGATTTCCAGTTACTCTACAAAATCGAAAACCCAATAACATTATTGTTAGACTATGAAAGACTGAAAGTGACAATGTGTCTACGTTTACAGAAGCCACATTGTCACATTGTCAAATCACATAAATCTTGTGTTCTTTACTTTCTTAACAAGAATGAAGGCTAACTGTATTACTTACATTAGCTGTAAGTTTTTGTTGCTTGACAGGGAAGCAGGAATAGGACCACTGAACTCATTATCTGCCAAATTTCTGCAGATTATTAAAAGAGCAAGAAATTCCAATCAGTAATTTTCAAGAATGAAATCAATAATAAACTGATGGAGAAAGTTCATAATCTCATGCATATTCACTTACAGATATTTAAGGTTTGGCAGGTTGCCGAGGAACTCTGGAATAGGACCACGTAAACTGTTATTCCCAAGATCTCTGTGTTTTCCAGAAAATTTATGAATACTTGATGATCCGAGGAAGCACAGAAATGGTGATACATATATACATGCATATAAAATATATTTAACTCACATTGATTCAAGGGCATCCATTGTACCAAGATCTTCTGGAAGTTCCCCTGACAATCTATAACCTGCAAGATGCCTACAAAGCAATTTCACAAGATCAGAGACGCGTAATTAAAGATTTAATTGTACAAGAATATTTAGAGCCGACCAATGAGAGCAAGCCAGGTTTCCGGTTTGCTTACAAGGCTGTTATACGAGGTTCTGCGTCGGTGCTACAGTTGACCCAGTCCCAAGAAAACGGCGCCGGGAGACATGGATCACTCCCCTCCTCCAGCACTGCGAATGTCTTTTGCAGGGCTACTAATGCTGTCCCTGATACAGACAAGACAACATAATAGTGTTAAGATTTAAGATTGTATCGGGACAATACAGTTAAATTGGTCAGATTGTTTACCGGTAACCATAAGTTTTACGATAGTTAGAGTGACTTATTAACTTTTTTTATTTGAATCAGTTAATTATAGACAATCTATGTTGATTTATGCATTTACCAACTAAGATCACATGCCCAGATTTATCATTGCTCTATTTGGTAAAATAGTTAGTTTTTCAGTCAATTTTAGTTTGTTTGCTTGACCACTATTAGTTGTTTGACTTGGTTAAACAACCAATATGAGTATTTGATTAATTAGTTTTTTGTAACAACTTATTGCTCCAAAGCAGATTTTTTGATCAGCTTTTTGAGAAAGTCATTTTGTATGTAATCAGTTATCAACTAACAACTAATTTAGATATCAACTAGTCAAACTCACTAACCCAATCAGTTAAACAATTATTTAGCACCTCATATCTGAATAAACAAGTTAAAACTAGTCAAATTGGCATTATAAAGTATAAACGCATTTGCTTCTCTTATAACTTACAATCACTTATGCTGGTAGAATCTTGGGTTTGTTGGCGAACCAAGAAGATCTCCATGGCGTTGACGAGAGGGGGGAGAGTGGAGTCGGAAGTAGCCGACAGGGAGAGCACGGTGTCGGAAGTAACCGTGAAGTTGAAACTCTCTTCATGTACGCCGCCGTAGGGCGGCGATATGGTGTCGGAGACGGGTTCTTTGCCCAAGTACATCACGAAGGATCTCTGTTGAGTTGATCTGAGTTCAGCCACTTCGGAGAAATACATGTTTATGTAGAGCGGGAAGGGCACTGCCGGAATGGCGGTCCGGATCGATGTGTTTGAGGTTGTCAACGCGTTTCGCAGAACCGCCTCCGGTGGATTGTCGGCGATGGATATATCTATGGAGGGAGCATTGTTTGCAAGGATCATTTTACCGCCATTAGGATCCCATATTCGGTCATAAGCATCATCTGGGTATCTACAGACATCATTATCAAATTTAGTCCAATTGTTCACATTCTGTCTTTACAGTTAACAGAATTAAAACATTAGCTTTTGGTCTGGTTTGATACCAAATTAAAACATGTGTTTCATCTCAACTAAAAGTTTAAGCTGATAGTTGGATTGCACATTAATAATTATATGCTCAACAAACAGTCTCTATAGGTAAACAAATAACTTGATAATTACTAACACATAATATTTTACCTGATAGTCTTATTGGATCCAAAAGCAGCTCTGGTTGCCAGTTGAAGAAAAGATGGGGACGAAAAGCCAGCATACATGGATGAATCCAAGCTACTAACTTGAAGAGCTGACATGAATGGAAATTGGCCACGCTTCGTTTGAGCAACGCAGACGCTAACAATGGGCCATTTGGTCACGTAGATAACTTCTTCATGAACCGGTTCATCCTTCTCAAACACAACTGCCGCCCAGAGATTCTCGTCCAGCAGCAAGTCAAACGTTGGAGGGGAGGCTTTGCTGTCGTAGTTTCCGTAGTAAAAGCTCGCACGTATTAAGTACTGTGAATTCTCGACGACTTCCACGTTGTAGCAGTTCTTCTTCCCGGAGGTGAAAACTCTGAGAGAGTCCAGGACTGGAGAGTTAATGGAGTTGGTAGCTTGCACCGCCTGCGAACCCCCACTCTGCAGGAATAAGTCGTCATCGCCCGACCATGAAATCCCGTTTTCGTCTTCGTGCGAGGAGGACGATGAGCCACAATCGATGTTGACAGAAGCTGCATTACAAATCCAAACAAAAAAGTTTAAAATCCGAGAGTCTATACTGTAGGTACTGTCAATCCACCTAAACCCCAACTCAAAATAAAGGTTTTTTTGGTTCACGAGGGAATCTGCAACCACTATTCAGGTATGCATTACTGGATAAATTTTGTCGACTCTAACTGATAAAAGATTAAAAAGAGGTAAACTAACTTAAGTTGTACATAGCTGATCGGGCCCAAATCTATGTAATAGTTGTAGTGTTACCCTATGTAATAGCCTGTAGTGTTCGACCTAGAAGGTGTTGGCCACAATCAAACACGTGAGTATTCAGATACGAGAATCATGTTTCACCTACTGGTCACCCTTTCTAATGCTATAAAGGCCTTTTTGTATAGCCTTACTATGAGGACACTAGCTAGTTTCACAGTACTTATAAGTATAATGCTAAAAAAAAATTTAATTATAGTTAAGATTGAGCATACTCAAAGCTGAGACGGACACGACAAGGAGAGCTACAATGGGTATAAGGATATGGTAATCCATGCTGGTCGGGGCTAGGAACGAGGGGTTGATACAAGAGTATAGAATGGTAGGAGCTGCATGCGTTTATATATAGAGATCATGGCAAAGACTTGGGACGATATAAAAAAGAGTGAGTTGGCTTTAAATTAAAATTCTTCGTTGCTAAGAGAGGTGACAGAATGTCAAAGCATAACATTTGGGAAACCATGTGCCTTAGCTTATATATTTCTTTCATAATGCCACTTGCTGATATGCACATTGTTCTATACTCATTTGACTTTGAATAAGTCTACCTGCTTAATTCACCAAGTCAACGCTTATTTATATGTAATTTATTAAGACAAAAATTCGATCTTCTACCCGGTCCAACAGAACATTTGTGAGGATATAAATCATGGTAACTCAATGGCTCGGCATATAAGGCCAAACGTCGGTGCGCACAAGGGATTTGCCAGCCGAGGTTGAACCTTGGTCTCTTCTCCCATATACTCCTACTGAACCAGTGAGCTAAACACATGCTAGCAAAAAAAAAAAAAAATCGATCTTATGACACTGGCTCACATAGGGTCAAATTTTTCATAAATATTACAGAGTACATTTTATCTCATAAATATTATTTTTTTCTAAATAACTCTTCAACCCTAAATATTATTATTATTATTATTATTATTATTATTATTATTATTATTATTATCAAACAAAACACTTTATTAATCAAAGGAATTAAAAGTTCTTACAAATGATGGCCAAAAAGTGAGTGTAAAACATACTGAGACCCCAAGAAGGGGCCTATACTAATCTAGAGGAACTTAAACAAAGAATGGACCAAAGCCCAAGTAACAGCTCAGGTCCAATTAAAGAATGAAAGAAATAAAAGAATGGTCGCAAGCCCAAATAATAGGCCAAGTCTAAACCAAAAAAAAAAAAAAGTTGCAGAAATGGTGATGCACAATCCTCCTCTAAACTTCAGGTCTACCAGTATGTCACCTCATGGCGTAAGGCTATCGGCGGGCTAAAATACGCTCATCATCTTGCAGTGCACTAATTTTGCAAAAATCCGGCAGCATAACGGCGATTTCTAGGACTATCCATAATTAGACAGGAGCCCCAAAAGACCAAATAGCTGCCAAACATAACAAAGAGGTTACACAGGCTGCCAAATAAGCAATCAAAGGGCACACATGCCAAAATAAAGCAAGATGCCACGCAGGCCCGAAAAAATGACACGCAGGCCAACCAATAGCAATAAAGTCTCATATGACCAAACAAGAACACAACACCAACTCAGTAACTAGAACCCTAACGGGATTAGCTACTATGGGCCAGCAGCAAGCCTGGACAAACCGCCAACGGATTTGATGAACCCCTACCCGGCCACCGTTCAGCCCGGGCCAGGATGCAATTTCTTACCGCTTGCACCAACGTTGAGGCATGATCTGTTCAAAGAATACCCACAAGGGCCAAACAGAACGAAGCAACAGACCAATAAAACCTCAGAGGCCAAGAAATATTCGAAAAAAAAAGAAAAAAAAAAAAAAAAAAAAAAAAAAAAAAAAAAAAAAAGCAAAAGGGAGCATAGTAGAACAAAAAGTAACGCACTCCCACTGTCAAACAAAATTTTGTGAAAACAAAAGTAGAAAGTTATAGAGAAAGAGATAGCAAAGTAGAGGAAAGACACGAACCATTGAGTCACCGTGATTTACATTCTCCAACATACTCTGTCGGGAAGATATATACAAAATTACTTTGTTGACAATTGAAGGATAAAAAGTAACAATGGTATAATTAAGAGACAAAAGGAGTCATTTTCTCTAATATAAATATTTCTAATTGAACTCTCAATATACTTTTACTAAACGTTGACACCCTCGATTCTTTATAAGTGTACAATAATATATATATGATAGATTTTTGTGATTCATTATAATTATATGTACTAGGTGAGAATAATTTTATATATTTACAAAAATTATATAGTCAAACATTAATCACGTACAATGCCAATCACACAGTCATTATATCGTGGACGGCGGTTAAAACGGCACCGTTTCTTTAAGTAAAGAAACGACGCACCGTTACTGTTAATAGAGCGCGCATTTTTTTTTTGTGTATTAATTATCAACTGAAACTACAGTGTATCTAAACCGACACTGCATCACGTATTATTTTATATATTATCAAATGAAATGCAGTTATATCAAAATGAATTGTAGTTGTGGTGAAATGAAACTGCAATGTATATAAAATGAAACTGAATAACATTTCACATATTTCAGTGTATATTGTTCAATGAAGCTGTAATTATATCAAATGATCATGTAGTTGTGTTTTAATGAAACTATAGTGTATATAAAATAAAATTAAATAACATTTTCACATATTTGAGTGTATAAATATCGAATGAAACTGTAGTTATATCGAAATGAAACTGTAGTTGTGTCGAAATGAAACTGTAGTTGTATATACAAAATAAAACTGAATAACAGAGTTACTTTTTACAGAACGGCGCGAAACAAGTGTCGTTTCTTTTCATTAAACAAAACGACGTCGTTTTGAAACTCGGTGCATAATCGATTATGTATCACGGTGCACGATATAATTTGCCGCCAATCACATGAGGTAGGTGTTACACATTATATTGTGAGGTAGCCAGGCCAGGTTGTATTAGTTCACTTATTAAGCATGATGGCGTGGGCAAATAGTTTGGCCACTGCAATCAAGTGCGTAAATAATTGTGCTCTTAGCCAATGTAGGACAACAATTATTCTTCTCTGCATCATTATCCAACGCACTTGTGCCAAAAAGGAAATAGGTAACAAAACACTTCTACCATGACTTTTCTTCGTATCAATTTATAATTGTATGAGCAGCTCAGTTGCTCAGAGGGGTAAAATATAAGAACAATAATCTGAGAACAAATCCATATCTTTGGAGTTGGGGATTCAACTTTTTAAGAACAATATAAGATCATTAAATTATATATTCCAAACACTGATTTTGGAAAAACTTTATAATTAAGACGATATATCATATTATATAATCAAGATTTATATAATATTATTGTTGGGAATTAATATATATTTTGTGGACATGGACCTGTATGATGATTTAATTTGTTGCGTGGAAGTATTAATGATATATCCTGACATGTTGCATGCAGTGGCACAACATTATGAATTGGAAGGTGAAAAACAGAAAAGATAAGATCATATCAGAATAAAATGAACACAGCCACACAGTGGCGATGTACACAAGAAAACTTACATTGTAAGCTACATAACATTATATTAATTAACCTTTTTTCTTTTCATAATTTGAACTTAGCTTTATGATCATCGTTTCTCTGATCTGTCCGTCCCTTTTCTACATCTTTTTCTTTCGGCCTAGCTACTTCTTCCCTTCCATCATACTCTCCACTAAGAACTCCGCCCCCGAATACACAACTCAATTGAATAACTAATTCAGAGTAAGCTAGATTAACAGTTTGTTTTGTTATTAGTCACAATGTATCACTCTAAACCAATCTTGGTGTTTGTTTGGCCTAAATTCAACTTATTGAATAATGTTTCTGAGAAATATTAATATTGGTAATTGATCGTTACGTTCTCGAATATTTATTTTCTTAGTATTTAATTAAGTTTTGCTCAACTTTGGATTAAGAAGAGAACAATAAACTTTAAAAGGACAATAAAATTCTGCATTGTTCAATTTACCTTTCCTATATAGTTTGTGGGTTATTATACATGAGCGAAATTTAGTGCACACCTTCACTGGGTGCAGATCTTTTTCGTCACCTTAAAAAAAAAAAAAGGACAAAAATAGTCTAGAGATGCCAATTCTTCTTTTGCTTTCCTTTTTTGTCTTTTACATAGAAGCCGAGCATGCACTATAAGAATGTTAGTGTTTTTGGAAACTAAAATGCCTTGGAGCTATTGATTCTCTATACTTCCTCATAAATTCATAATGTACCCAACAGAATATGTAAGTATTAAGAACAAAAATAAAAATAAAAAAAAATCAATCCCAAAATCTCTTATATATACCTATTATTTAAAAATAACATTTGATCAACGTAAGCATACATTATCGTACATATATTATCCATAATATAATGTTCATATATGTTCTAAAATAATTGAAAAGAAGCACTTTGATGGACGCAGGATTCAGGTGATCTAAACCAAAAGGATTAAATAAAATCAAGAAAAGGGAAAATGGGCAACCTTAATTAATTACTCCGTAATTAATATTACAAGAAAATTAGAAGTGGTCAACCAACCACATCAACTTTGGTAGTGCAAGATAGCAACCTCCGGAAGATGGAAACCACAACGGCCGACGACACTTCCTTTACCTTTCCCAACCCCACGCATTTCTTTCTCCGGCGACGCCCGCCGTCGTCGCTGCCACTTTCACGGCCGCGAGACTTCCTCCTCCTCCTTGTCCGCTTCTCCCCAACCCCCTCTCTGCCTCTCCCGTAGCACTTCACCGTCTCCTCCTTCTTATTCTCTTCCCGGGAGAAAGTGTAGCTTCTGAGGTATAGTTGCCTGCATGAAATGCTATCCACCACCCTAGGGTGGGGGACGCCGCCGTCGCCGGCGGCGCGCATGTTAGAGCTCATTGAGCGGATGAACTCGGCGTCGGATTCCGGCCACTTGTAGAGGTTTACGTAGGTGGCTCTGACGGGGACTCGGGCATCTTTCACACAATTTGATATGCAAACAGATGTCATGTTTCTTATTCCTTTTTCCCAGATTTCAGTGAGGAAATTAAAACAGAATAGTATGTATTGTATATAAGAATGAAAACGAAAGAATTGAAGGAACAAACTTAGGGTTGAAGAAAAGTTTGTCCGTATGATGATGGGGTTGCGAGGGTGTGTGGAGACGGGAGAGAAGCTAAGGGATCAGAGGGGGAGGGTATGTTTGGGGTCTTGAAGGAGTCAATACTATGCTTTTATGCATTTGGATTTGGTGGCGATTGCGGATATATATATGTTAATAATACCCAATATATTTTTGGATTATACTGATTTTACTTAATTTAGTTCTAATTATACTCAATTTAGTATTTGACTTTGATAGTTTTACACAATTTACTCATTTGTTAAAAATTATGTTAGTAGACGGTTAGAAATAAAGTCCTAATGGTAATTTCTCATTAATGTTGCTTCCCTGCTACTTCTCTATTGCTTCTCTAAGGGCTGTGCACCCAAATGACCAAATCCAACTAAAAAAAATCTATAAGCAAATATTTATTTATTTAGGGTTGAAATTGATTTAGAGATCAGATGAATATCTCCATTTCTAAATGAAGCTTAATAAGGGGAAGAAGATCATAAGGAATCATCCCAAATGGGATGAAGGATGAGAAATTGCCATTAATATCCTATTTCTAACAGTCAACTAACAGGGCGTTTGGTTGGAGGGATTTTAAATTCTCTTCCCACTTAATTCCCACCTAATTCCAAAGACCATTAAATTCCGTAGTTTGGTTGGAGGGAATTGCAATTCCGGAATTGCAATTCCCCCATTTTCATGGAATTAAAATCCCATGTCCCCCCTAGTATTTTAATTCCTGGGAAAAAAAGATAGTGATGAGTCAAAATTACTCCTTCATTTTTTAACCTAAAATTAATGTCTAACAACAATAATGGACATTTTTGACTTTATACTACTTATTCCCTTTCAATTCCCAGTAATTTTATTCCTGTCAACCAAACACTGGAATTTAAATTCCCACTTTATTCCCAGTAATTCAACTCCCATGGAATTACAATTCCTTTCCCACATAATTCCCTCCCTCCAACCAAACGCCCAAAAGAATTTGTAACAAAAGACTAAATTGTGTAAAATCATCAAAATCGATGACTAAATTAAGCATAAAAAGTAATTTAGAACTAAATTGAGTAAAATCACTATAATCGATGAGTATATTAGATATTTACCCATATCATATATATGATGCTCCCAAGATTGTAATGATTTGGCATCCAAGGTTTAGGCCACATAGTTTCTTCAAGTGTAAGGACTTCTCAAAACATAATTTCTAGATATGTCTAATTTTTATAATCATAATTAAAGATGTTTTATGGCCAGTGTTGCAAAAATTTCTTATAGGCACCGATTAATCGGCGTCTAGACTGTGGCGATTTTTCTCTTAGACTCCCGCCTAGAGGATCGGTCGCCTAGGTACCTGCCTAACGCTTAACTCGGCCGAGTTAACTCGTCCATTTCAGTCAAGTTAGCCGAGTTAACCTGACCGACTCGTCCTTGCTAATTTTTTTTTCATTTATATGACATATATATTTATATTTATTTATTTATATAATTATATATATAGACCGTGGCGATTTTTCCCTTAGGCTCCCGCCTAGATGACCGATCGCCTAGGCGCCCGCCTAGCGCCTAACTCGGTCGAGTTAATTCGTCCATTTCGGTCGAGTTAGCCGAGTTAACCTAGCCGACTCGGCCTTGCTAATTTTTTTTCATTTATATGACATATATATTTATCTTTATTTATTTATATAAATATATATATATATATATATATATATATATATATATATATATATATATATGTGTGTGTGTGTGTGTGTGTGTGTGTGTGTGTGTGTGTGTGCGCGCGCGCGCGCGCCTAGACGCTAGGCATTACTCTACTGCCTGATTAGCGCCTACTGCCTAGCGCCTATTGCAACCATGCTTGTGGCTCAACTCTTAAGTCATTATATTTTGGGCCAATGGTCCACACTTATCAGGAAGCCTAGCCAATCGTTATGCCATGGAACCGTGTTCACCATTCATGGTGAACACGGTTCCAACGGTGTTAGTACACCGTTATCTCTTTTTTTTTTTTTTTTCTTTTTCTTAATTAATTGCGTGACTTTTCTTCTTCATTTTCACATTTCGCGGTTTCACTTTAATTTGAGGTGAGCAATGATTTCGGACATTCATAAATTATGAATTCATGCCTGCACATTCACTTTGGAACCATGCCTACACATTCCCGTCCGAAATCACGGACATTCATAAATTATGAATCCATGCCTGAACATTCACTTTGGAACCATGCCTACACATTCACTTTGGAACCATGAGATTATGAATTTTCTGTTATAAGATTATGAATTTTCAGTTATGAGATTATGAATTTTCTGTTATGAAATTATGAATTTTCTGTTATGAGATTATGAATCTACATTACATTCATAATCTCATTCTCATAACAGAAAATTCATAATCTCATAACAGAAAATTCATAATTTGATCCAACGGCGCCGTTAACTCCACATCCGCGATTTTTTTTTTTTTTTTGTGTAAAAACGACGTCGTTTGGACTTGTGTTCACCATTCACGGTGAACACATTTCCAGGGCATAATTTGCGAAGCCTAGCCCGACCAAACTACGAGTATTACTTTTGGGTCAAGACCAAAAACCTAAGAAGGCCGAGGGGAACTTAATTATGCTGTAGAACCGTGTCTACCTTACAAGGTGGACACGGTTTCAAAATTGTCATAATTGTGAATATAGAGTTCAAAAATTATGAACATATAATTCTATAATTGTGAATATAAAGTTCAATAATCGTGAATATGAAGTTCAAAAATTATGAACATAAAATTTTATAATTATGAACATATTTTGTAATTTTGAATATAAAGTTCAATAATTATGAATATATAAAATTCAAAAATTATAAATATAGAATTTTATAATTATAAATATAAAATTCAATAATTCTAAACATATAACCATGTCTATGTCGCAAAGTATATATACACGGTTTCACAACATAACAATTGGTTTTATATCTACCGAAACTATAAATTTATTAAACTAAATGGCTAAAAAGGCTATCTGTTATAAATATATTCAATGGACAAACATTATTTAAAGCTCCATGCAATATTTATGCAAATTATTGGTGGGGAAATGCAATATTTATGCAAATTATTTCGGCACACTGCATATCCTTATTCTCCTTACATCTAATACATGGTTTTCAAACAAACATTTCCCAAATCTGTGTTTCTATTCTTATGAATGCAGTCAAATCTATTACATAACCACTATAGCGTATCCATCTAAACCTCCATCTACTGTCTCCAATATTTAAAGCCCATGAGAGAGACGCGATGGATACGCTGACTGCGTGAAGACTGGTTCATGACATTAGGGGGATATATGATCAAAATTGAAATAGAATGCCGAGAAATTTCGTGAAATAAAATGATCTTCAAAACTTAAACCCACGTACCAATTAGATTGAACTTGAAGTTCAGAAAGAAATCTGCCAAATAAATCTATTTCATAAAAAGAGTGACTAGGTCCCATACACATTCCCCAAAATTGGACCATATATATCTATCGATACTCCTTGACGTCAGAAGTGAATCCACAAACAAATAGACTAGTAAAGTTTTTTTTGTCACCCTTGAAAACTCTTAGAGCTCTTGAAATATTAAAAAGTTATATCTTTAAGACGATCGTCCAAACAACGAGAAAAACCCAGTAAAATTATAGGTGCACCAAATATTCATAATACTGGGTTGCGGAACAACCAGATATAAATATCCTGGAAATGGCTATAATCTGGCTAATTTTGAAAATCTTTTATATATATATGGGAGAAATTATTGAAAAAATGTTATAAGTTGTCGACAACACAATTGCCTTCAAAATTGCTCATATTATACGAGAATTTGGATCCAGAGCCAGGTGCCAGAAGCCCCTAGATTGATTAACGTATAAAGAGAGCAATTGAAGGCATAGCTCGACTCGCTAAAATGGATATATTATGAAGCGAGTTTGTAGCTTACGGGTTCATGCAGAGACCCTTTTCAAATATACTCTCCCACGGTAAATGGCATTAAGTTCCGCTATATAATACAATTGACAAAATAATAAATTTAGATATGCAGTTAAATTTATCTTGAAAAAAATCCCTAATGGATTTATAACTCCCGAAATGAGAATTTATTTAAATATTATTATGTGCCATTGTTTACTCTTTAAAGAGTTGCGAATGGGGTTATTATCCTCATATAGAAGGAATAATATGTACTATTATGTGCTCAATAAAGTGTTGATAATGGACTTATTTATTATCTCAGTCAATATTTATGGTGTAAACATCAATGAAATATATAAAGAGCTTGATGATGTTAAGTTATGAGATGAGATAAATCAAGGTACAAATATTCGTATTGATGTTTTTTGGCATGAAATCATCATACTTTCTACAGATAAAAACATATATAGTTTTTCATGATATAAAATACCTTGATCCACATGAAAGCTAGAAGAGTGATAAAATATTTGTTCAGAAAGTTTGCTCTAGTGACAAGTTAGCAAATGTATACCTACAAAATATCCATAAGATTGATATGTGTAGGTAAAGAAAAATTATTATATTTAGGGGGACCAACAAAATATAAACTATAAATATTTTCATTGGTTCAGATGATAATGAGAGAATATGATAAATTCTAATGACAATCCTGAAGATTGTACTATATCCCCTCTCTACACTCTATTGGAAAAATGACTTTACTTTAAGCTATTTAGAACTTCATTGTTATTTCCAGGGGGAGACGAAAAGTACATTCACTCAAGTCAATCTTGTAGATTGGGTCTTAAAAAGACTAATAATTGCACTTTTTGCAGCATATATATTCACTCGAGTCAATCCTGTAGAATGGGTCTTAAAAGGACTAATAGTTATACTTTTTGCAGCATATACATACCATGTACTCTTTTCCTCACTAGATTTTTCACAATGGGTTTTCTAGTGTGGTTTTTAACGAGGTATGAGTATGATATATTAAAGGGGGGAGTTGTATATAAATACTTAAAGAGACAAACCCCAAAATTCTGAAGATTATGCTTGAAAGTTTATGGTTGTACTTTTTTTCCCTTAATTAAGTTTTTCTCACGAGGTTTTCTTAAGTTAAGGTTTTTAACGAGACAATCAGTATAATATATGAATTTACAAATATCATTTACTCTTTTCTTCAACTAAATTTTTCCCACGTAATTTTTCTAGTGAAGTTTTTAACGAGGCAGGGTTATAATAAGACAATGTCCAAGGATAAGTGTTTTAAATAATATTAAGTGTGGACATTATAATTAGAATATGTAACGGTCAACATTATTGTTGTCATTATTATTAGTCTATTATATATATATATATATATATATATATATATATATATATATATATATATATATATATATATATATATATATATGAAAATTGTCACTTTATCTCTATACTAGCATTTTGTACGCGCAATGCGCGAAAACTTATGCCCAATATTAAAATATTTGTAAGTAACAAAATTTAAAAAATTAGTTAAAATTATGTTTTGCAATTTCTTAAAGTGATGATACTTTTGAATTATCATATATTTTAATAATATAGTGATCAAAACAAAAAAAAAAAAAATTATATTTTTATATAATAATAATTTACAAGTAATACTAAGCTAACACTCACATATATGATATATTGATATGGATACACAAATAATATACATACATTATATATCTATATCTATATATATATATATATATATATATATATATATATATATATTATACACATATATAATTTAACATTCATATAAATATTTAATTAAAATATAATTTATAATTAAATTAATTGTTATATGATAATTTTAATAAAATGATAATTAAAAATAGAAAAAAGATATGATAGATGTAAGTGTATAGTAAGATTGGTAGATATATTAAAAATTAACGGTGTTAAAACAATATAAGGGTGATATTTTGTCCAATGTAAATGAATGTACAACAATTAAAGTAAAATGTATATATATTTATTAACATATAAAAAAGGGACAAAAATCAAGGACATAACTTGTATTAACACTTATTATGTTTTTAGATATTTCCTTCTCTCTTTCTCCTTTTCCAATATTATCAATTTTGCAAAGTTCATCCGTTAGAAGCTAAAAGCCATCAAACATAATCTCACACAACACTATCAAATGTTCTCTAGTGGTAAGTTGTTAAAAACATGCAATTAAATTATTGAGTTTGTTTTCATAAGATATTATTGACTTAATCACCATTTGATTCTGAATTATTTTCAAATTATCAATGTATTCTTTAATTTTCAATTTCAACCAATTTGATACTCAAATTATTTAAAATTATACCAATTAAATCTTTTCAGGAGCAAAAATAGTGATTTCCACAACAAATTTCCCATTACTGAAACAAAACATAAAGCGTTCAACACCAACACTAAAGTGACTAAACTACAACCAACCTAAGAACACAATACCCAACAATGAGTATTTACAAAAAAGTGAGTAAGAAAAGAGCCCAGCCATTGTTGACAGTTCTAATTTTCTTGACAGCAAGACTCATAACAAAAAACCAGTACAAACGATTCACCCACCGAATCCGTACAGAGTCCTCCCCTGCCTTTTCAAGGCATACACCACATCCATGGCAGTAACCGTCTTGCGGCGGGCGTGCTCCGTGTAGGTAACGGCATCCCTAATCACATTCTCCAGAAAGATCTTCAACACGCCGCGAGTCTCCTCGTATATGAGACCGCTGATACGCTTCACGCCGCCTCTACGGGCCAGCCTACGGATGGCCGGCTTGGTTATACCCTGGATGTTATCGCGGAGGACCTTCCTGTGACGCTTGGCTCCTCCCTTTCCCAATCCCTTGCCTCCTTTTCCCCGACCCGACATTCTGAACAGACACCCAACTACAAATTCCTGTAACAATTTCAACCAGATTCCAATAAAAATCAAAGCAAAACATAGCTCATTCACGAAATTGAATCGATTGCTCCCTGATTATCATATATATCACTAAATTAAGAGAAACCCTAGGGTTCAAAAACATCTAACTGCAAATCACTATCTAAATAAATGCAGATAAGCAAATATCTATCGATATATACGTAGAAGAGAAAGAAAGAGGGAGAGATATACAAACCTAAAACTGAGAAGTGTATAAAAGTTGTTGCAGAATGGCCTGAAGCTCAAATTGGAACGACAATGAAGAGTGTATTCGGGTAGGGGTAGAGGTAGAGGGGCAGTATTTATAGGAGGACGTAGTGGGCTGTCGGTTATGTGCTCGATCTGGGTAGTGGTAAATGGGAAGATCGCTGCCGATGATCGGACGGTCGACAAGAGCCTAAGGGATTTTACGAGGATAGTAGGTACGTGGCGATTTTTGGGTTTTGGGCTCCAAATTTGAAACGCATTCGATTTTGACTTCTATTGTAAACGAAATTTTGTAAAATTGGGCGGGACGATTAACGCCTAAATAGTAAAGACGTTTGATTGCAAATTCGCAATGGAGTGTTTGGCGGTAAATTTTTTAATTTTTTTTAAGTTCCACTAAATATATAGATGGTCTTTGGAATCCATCATCTTATAATAAAATAAGGGTTAATTTCACCAAAGATCTCTTGTCTTTGGTGACAATTTCAAATTTAGTCTCAAACTATCGTTTTTGTCATTTAACATCTCAAACTATTATTTTTTGGACACTTTTAATCATTCTCATGATTTTTTTTTTTTTGTCTATTCATATTTTTCATTTGTTAATTTTCTAAATTAAAAGTCCTAAAAATAAAATTGTAGTAAAGATTTATAACTTCTATTGAACGAATTGACTCAAAGAAAAGGTGATTGATGTCATCCAATCTCTAGAGTTTCACACAACTCTTATCAATTGTGTGGTAATCTACATATATAGCGGATAGCTATATCGTAATTATATGCAACTTAAGAAGTTAAAGCAGAGGGATGGGCAACTCCGTTCAATAGAAGAGGTTGCGGTTGTTCGGTCCACGATTCTAAATTGATAGTTCATACTTTATAAATAGCATGAATCATAAATTGAACCATTAATATGCGATTTATTAACAATTACATATATAGAGGATAACTATATCGTAATTATATGTAACTTAAGAAGTTAAAGCAGAGGGATGGGCAATTCCATTCAATAGTAGAGGTGGCGGTTGTTCGGTTCATTATTCTAAATTGATAATTCATGCTTTATAAATAGCATGAATCATAACTTGAACCATTAATATGCGATTTATTAACAATTCATGATTTGACGGCTCCGGTTCATGAACCTCTAGTTAACTTTTTTTTTTTTTTTAATTTCAAATTTTGCACAATGTAATTAATTCAAGTTTGCATCATACTTAATAATGAGTCTATAAGACTATTAGTAGTATAAAGTACTACATCTAACATATATTTACATCTTAAGGGGGCGTTTGGTTCACGGAATCTTGGATTACCTTAGGTAATAGGATTACCTCTAGGAAGGTAATGTGAGATGTTGGGAATGTAAGATTACCTTGTGTGTTTGGTTTGGATAGGGTAATATAATATTACCTTGTTTGGTTTAAGGTTATATTTTAGGTTATATGGATCAATTTACAATAATGTCCTCAATTATATATATATATATATATAATGTGTGTGTATTTATTTATAGGAATAAGGGTCAAAATAACCACTGAACGTAACCTGAAAGTGCAATTGGACCACCGAACCAAAAAAAAGTGCAATTACACCCTTCAACAAGCTAAATGTGTTCAATTTCACCTCACAGCCGGTACTCACCCCTCTTTTCCGGTAAACCTGCTTAGCTGGAGGGTTACGTGGCATTTTCTTTCCTATTTTATTTTCTATGTGTGCAATTAGGTTGAGTTGGCATTTTTTTTTTCCTATTTTCTTTTCATTCCTTTCTTCTTTCTTCTTTCGTATTTTATTTCTGGCCTGCTAGTTCAGCCGCTGATTAGAGTCCTCAGCGATCGATGCATCAGCAAGTTCGACAGCCGCTGCCCCTTCATCCTTGGCGGCACCGTCTCCATCATGATCGCCGTGCTTGTCATCGGTTTCTCCGCTAGTATTGGCTGGCTGCTCAGCCGATCGCGGCCAGGTTAAGGTAGGCGTCATCGCCGCCTTCATTGTAGGGTTTTGGCTCCTTGATATTGCAAATAATATGACTCAGGGACCTGCAGAGCTCTTCTCGCCGATATCTCGCCATTTCTGAAGATCAAAGCAAGTTTTCTCAAAATCAATTCGAAGAAGTCGACAGAGAATCCCTAATTCGCCATTTCTGAAGATCTAAGCAAGTTTTCTCAAAATCAAATCGGAAAAGACGACGGAGAAGCACAAAAAGAAGGACCACGCACGGAACTTGAACGGAGAGAATCGAAAAGCCAAAAAACCGTACCTTGGAACTCCATTTCCACGAACAGGGCTGCAACAATGGCTAAGCAGGTGGAAACATCGTCAACAAAATATAATAGGAAAAAAATAGAAAAAAAAAAAACAAAATGAAGGCGGCGATGGCGTGACTGCGTGAGGAAGAAAGAGCTCTGCAGTGAGCCAGTGAAAAGTCAGGCAAAGGAAGAAAGAAGAAAGGAAAGAAAATAAAATAAGAAAAAGAAATGCCAACTCAACCTAATTGCATGCATAGGAAAAAAAATAGGAAAGAAAATGCCACGTAACCCTCCAGCTAAGCAGGTTTACCGGAAAAGATGGATGAGTACCGGCTGTGAGGTGAAATTGAACATATTTAGCTTGTTGAAGGATGTAATTGCACTTTTTTTTCGTTCGATGGCCCAATTGCACTTTCAGGTTACGTTCAGTGGCTAATTTGACCCTTATTCCTTATTTATATGTATGAATGTATATCAATGCTTAAATATTAAAAAAAAAAAACTAAATATATAAATATACACATGTATATTTGATTATATAAACATATATTAATTTCATTATTATTATTATTATTATTATTATTATTATTATTATTATATAAGGATTAGTTAACAAGGGCAAATTTTCAAAAAAAAAAAAAGTTAACAAGGGCAAAGTTGGAATAATTCAAGGTAATCTAAGATTACCTAAAAAAATGGGGGTAATCACATTACCTTGAAACATTACCGCCACATCAGCTTTCAGGTAATATAACATTACCAGATAATCTTATAACTTGAACTAAACAAGGTAATATAACATTACCAGACTCAGATTACCTAGGTAATCTAAGATGACCTGAACCAAACGCCCCCTAAGAGTAATATTATTATAATTGTGTGTGTGTATATATATATATATATATATATATATATATATATATATATATATATATATATATATATATATAACCAAGTTCCAATATGGTCAGAGCTTAATGTGTGGTCAGTGTAGCCGCACCAATAGGTATGTAAAAATGCACCAATAGTGTTAGGAAATACATCACAATGAACTGAACTAGTGCACCACACACTCAAAAGAATGCAACATACCTCTCCACATCTAATGGTGCATTTATGCGTACCTAATGGTACATTAGAACATTTCATACGAACAGCACGTTAAGGCCTAACCGCATTTAAGCTGAAATCTATATATATATTCACAAAAACATATAAACCTTATCCTTAACCATAGTTATCAAAATTAAACCTTAACCATAACCTTTTTATATGTCAAATAGTGAAATAGCGTACGATTCAACTTTGATCCTCCGATTGAATTAAACCACAACCACCTCTGTTCAATGGGTATGGAACAAGGATATTGTAAACTTGTGATTTAATTTGACTTGAAAACGTGACGAAATAGATTAGGAAAGATTGTAGAATCCATGTGGAGCATGTTTACAAGTAAGCAAATGTGAAGTCAAACTTGATCCTTAGCCTAGCCATCCAAACCAAATTATTTGAAAAGAGTAACATTCTTGCAAGAAGAAATTGAAAACTCATATATATAGTAAGACTAATCTGTCTGCATATAAATTCAACAACAAAATTCCCATTCCAGAAACAAAACATGAAGCATTCAACATCACCAGTAAAGTGAACAAACTACTACCTACCTAAGAAGACAATACCCAACACTGAAGAGTATTTACAAAAAAGTCAGAAAGCAGAGAGCCATTGTTGACAGTTCTAATTTTCTTGACAGCAAGACTCATAACAAAAACCAGTACAAACGGTTCAGCCCAAAACGCTCAACCGCCGAACCCGTAAAGAGTCCGACCCTGCCTTTTCAGCGCATACACCACATCCATGGCAGTAACCGTCTTGCGGCGGGCGTGCTCGGTGTAGGTAACGGCATCCCTAATCACATTCTCCAGAAAGATCTTCAAAACGCCGCGAGTCTCCTCGTATATGAGGCCGCTGATACGCTTCACGCCGCCTCTACGGGCCAGCCTACGAATGGCCGGCTTAGTTATACCCTGGATGTTATCGCGGAGGACCTTCCTGTGACGCTTCGCTCCTCCCTTTCCCAATCCCTTGCCTCCTTTTCCCCGACCCGACATTCTGAACCGACACTCTACAAATTCCTGTAACAATTTCAACCAAATTTCAATAAACTCAAAGGAAAACACAGTACATTCACAATACTGAATCCATTGTTCTCTGATTGTCATATATATCACTAAATTAACAGAAACCCTAGGGTTCAAAAATATCTAACCGCAAATCAATATAAATAAATGGAGATAAGAAAATACACATCGATGCATACATTCGAGATATAGAAAGAGAAAGAGATTTACAAACCTAAATCTGAGAAATGTATAGAAGACGAAGAATGACCTCGAGCTCACAATGCAACGACAATGGAGAGTGTATTCGGGTAAGGGGTGAAGGGGCAGTATTTATACGATGACGTAGTGGAAAGTCGGTTATGTGCTCGATCTGGATAGTGGTAAATGGGAAGTTCAGTGCCGATGATTGAAAATATCGGACGGTTGATAAGAGCCTAAGGGATTTATGAGGATAGATGACGTGGCGATTTTTTGCGTTTTGGGCTCCAAATTTGAAATGCAATCGTTTTTAAAACTTTTAGTTGTAAACCAGAAATTTTTTAGATTCAATTAGATGGGCCGGGTCTTTCATATTGGCCTCAGCTGTCAGGGCTTTAACTTGTCCAAAATCGTTTAAACCGGCCCAAATCCTTTAGTTTCAATCGGTATGCTGTGTAACCGTGTGCACCATGCGAACGACGCTGCTTTACTATGGTGGAGTAACGGTGCTGTTAATGGCACTGTTTAACTACACCAATCAAAAATTCTAGATATATAGTTCACTAATTCTTAATTTATATTTCATAAATTCTGAATATATAGTTCATTCATTCTGAATACACAGATACAACTGTTGGTTTTAGGGTTTTTGGGCCCAAGGAGGTCCAACACAACCGTGGTTGGTGGATTCACCACAAAAAATAAAGCTACTAAAATATAAGAAGTATCACTCAATGATTTTTACGTGAAAATCGAAAGGTGAAAATCACGGGCCTTTTTGAGCGATGTCAAGCCTAAATTCACTATTATGTAAGATTGTGTTGTACAAGTTGTATGGTTATTTTGTATATAGAAATATTGTGTAAGGGAAGATATATACTTTGTATATAGAGAGGGAGTCTTCCTCTTGATCTTCTTGTTGGGAGAATGGTAGAGTCTTCTTGCTTAGATGAGTGGAGAGTGGTTGTGGAAGAAAGCCTTCTCTTCGGGAGAGTGATGGAGTATTCTGGAGGTGAGAGAATAGTATGTGGTCTTCTCTTGTTGTATTGTGGAATGGAGTCTTCTTAGGAGAGTGGTTGTGGAAGAGTGATATGTCTTTTTATGAGAGAAAGAATAGTAAATGGGGGAATAGTGCTTGGGAAAGTGAATATGTGGTCTTCTCCATGTGGATGAATGAGAGTGATGTGAGTAGATTACTCTCCATGTGAGGGTGAATGAGATGTCCCCTTTCTTCTTGTATTCTTCTCCTTTTTATAACTATCCAAGGTTAAGATTATAGCCGTTGAGGCCTTTAATAAGGGGTTAATATGATAGTAAATAGGTCATTAGTGGGTATTAAGTGGTAGTAATAATTAGGAGATTAACATGGGGTAATAATTTGGGTTTTATGGATAGTTTAATAGGATATTTATTTTGGGGGGTTATGGAGGGGTTTAGAGGTTGGACCGGGTTTAGGTGGTCTAACTGGGTTAGATGGGCCAGTCGGGGTTAGGCAGTCCAACAGGGCCCAATATTGGGTATCCATCAACAGTGAACTGTTATAAGGCAAAATAGAATACCAGTAACCTATGTGGATATATAGTTCACTAATTCTGGATTATATAATTCATTAATTCTGGATATATAGTTCATCAATTATGGATATATAGCACAACATAACGCCGTTAACAGCAATCGAAAATGATTATTTTTTTAAATCGAATGCGTCGTTTTTAATCAAAACGACGTTGTTTTTGCAATCATGTACACCATGCATTGTGCACACAGCTGCACAACATAATTTGCGCTTTAGTTTCATCCACCTGCCACCCATATGGCCATATTTGAACAAGCCAATCCTTATACCATGGATCGGGGTACACAGTGCACTGTGGACCCTAGTACATGTGTATGTGGAAACGTGTTCACCATGCGCATGGTGAACACAAGGGTAGACCCATAATTTCTATGCTGTAAATTCATAATTTTGTTTTTTATTTGTTCTAAACGACGCTTCTCTCTTCGCAACCGCATTATTTCGTCTTCGCAGTATAGATATTATGAATCTACAGTACATAAATTATGAATATACAGTATATAAATTATGAATCTACAACATAGAAATTATAAATCTACAGTATAGAAATTATGAATCTAGAAATTATGAATCTACAATATATATGTTATGAATCTACAGTATAAAAATTATAAGTCTACAGTTTAGAAATTATGGATCTATCCCGTGTTCACCACAATCATTATTGTGTAGACCATGGTCCATACAAATTATATAGACCATATTTTTATACTGTAAAATAATGTACATTCAATACAAAAATAATATACATTGTATTTAAGGGATGTACATTATTTTTGTATTGAGTGTATATTATATTATATAATGTACATACAGTACACAAATAATATACATTTAGTATATTAAAAATATACATTTTATTATGATCCACATAACACTATATGGACCATGTTTCACACAATGGTAAACACGGTTCCACAGCATAACTATTGTTAAAAAAACGAGTTGAACCAAATTGAGCCCAATATTCTACTATTCTAGTGTGGACTGGATTGGGCCACCCACAATAGTGAAGAGTCTATGTATACATGGGCCTTTTTTTATTTTTATTTTTTTGAAAACCGACATGGGCCTATTTTGTTTACAAGTGGCCGCCCACAATAGTGAAGAGTCTATGTAGACATGGGCCTTTATTATTATTATTATTATTATTATTATTATTATTATTATTATTATTATTATTTCCTTCATGACTTAATAATATTTTTTTTAATCATATAATTTAACTCGTCTCTTATTTTCTTGTTGAATATTCATCTCAGCTTGCTATACTTGTGATACACTGATACTATACAGTAGTTAGTATTATAAGTAAAGTTAGTGTTATACGTATTATAAGTCGAAATGTAAGACATGTTATTTGTGAATTGAAGTTTTGTGTTTATTTAATACTCTCCCATTTCTCAAGTTCGTTTACTGAGTTTTAATTCAAGTTATTTACAAGTCAATTTTTTAATCCGTTAGCATTTAATAGATTTTAATGAATTTTTTTTGGGCTCTTTTGTTAAACATGATGACCGGTTTGAGGGGGCGCCATGGCTAACGTTTCACCGTATTAGGGTGTCAATTTCGGTTGATAGGCCGCTTAGGAGGAGAATGAGGTTGATGAAGAGAGATGGGACTACAGCATGGGTAAATTTTAGATATGAACGGCTGCATAAGTTTTGCTATTTTTGTGGCTGTATGGGTCACTTGCATACGTTCTGCATACACGCTAGGGAGGCTGGAATTCCGGTCGAAAGGTACCTGTACGGTCCGGATTTGCGAGCTGGTGGATCCCGGAGCGCTCCTAGAGCGGTTGGGGATAGCTGGCTTGTTCCGGTAGGCGGGAAACCACGACCATTGGGAGTCAAGCCACGTGTGGTGGATGGGGGACAGGGAAGCGGGGGTGTCACACCCACAAGTATGTCTGAGGATGAGGTGGTGGTGGCTACGGCAAAGCGTCGTAGGCATGGAACGGAGGGGGGAGAGGATGGTGGAAACGATGAGGTACCAATTGCAACTGTTTCAAAAAACTTGTCCATGGCGGGAGCTGGTGTCCAGCCCCGCCCATCATCATGAGTACTCTGAGCTGGAACTGTCGTGGCTTGGGCAATCCACGCACAGTTCGACAGATTGTGGGCCTTGCGTCCAGTAAGAAGCCTGATTTTGTGTTTTTGATGGAGACCAAGGTACCACGGATACATGCAGAACGGATCCGGGTTATGCTTGGTTATGAAGGTTTGTTTTATGTTGATAACGATGGTTTGAGTGGTGGAATGGCGCTTTTATGGAAAAAGAATAATACGGTGAGGCTGTTAAGCTACTCACAGAGTCATATTGATGTGGAGGTAAGCTTGTTTAATAAGATATGGCGCATGACATGCATTTATGGTATCCCCGAATGTGGCAGGCGGGAGGAGACATGGGATTTACTTGGTACTCTCAAGACTAGATCCTTGTTGCCCTGGGTGGTGATAGGGGATTTTAATAATCTACTATACCAGCATGAGAAGAAGGGGGGAAATCCGTATCCTAATAATCTGTTAAGGGGTTTCGGAGATGCTGTGGATGACTGTGGTTTGGTGCAAATGCCAATGAGGGGCCACCAGTATACGTGGCAGAAGGGAAAGGGAACGCCGAATTGGATAGAGGAAAGATTGGACAAGGCATTAATAACGAATGATTGGGGTCTACTTAATGAGAATGCATGGCTGGAGAATATTCGAACCCGGGCCTCGGATCATTCGATCCTATTCCTCAGTATTAATGCGTTTTGCATGCCGAGGAGAAGGGGGCCGCAGAAGTTCAGATTTGAAATGGCTTGGCTATTAGATGAGGGGTGCAAAGAAGTAGTACAAACAGCCTGGCAAGAAGGGAGAACGGAGGGATTGCTGCATTGCCAGCAGTTGTGTGGAGAAAAGTTGATGCAGTGGGGTGGAGATCAGTTTCATAGATTCGGAAAACGAATTAACCACCTGCAACGGAGACAAGATGCCATACGGAATAGACAAGATATGGTAGCGTTAGCTGAGTACCAACAGATTGAGAATACCATGAGACGAATAGAGGCCCAGGAGGATGTGTTTTGGAGGCAGCGGGCCAAGCAGCACTGGCTACGTGGGGCTGATGCAAATACTAAATTTTATCACAGGTATGCCTCTGCACGTAGGAAAAAAAAAATTTATTTCTACTATTAAATGTGATGCTGGTAACTGGGTGGAGGGGGATGATATGCATACTGCTATACAGAATTACTTTGAAAATATTTTTGCCTCTAATGGATTGAGTTGTGATGATCCACTGTTTGTAGTCCTAACCCCACGAGTAACGTTAGAGCAAAATATGATGCTAGACCGCCCTTTTGAGACTAATGAGGTTAAAGAGGCTCTTTTTTCAATGTATCCGGATAAGGCACCGGGTCCGGATGGTTTAAACCCGGGTTTCTACCAGCAGTTTTGGGAGATAGTGGGAGGAGATGTATCTGGCTTTATAATGAATGCTTTGAATTCCTGTGTATTCCCTGAGGGATTGAATGATACTAACATTGTCTTGGTACCGAAAAAGGAGATGCCTGAGATAGTTGCAGATCTAAGGCCGATAGCATTGAGTAATGTCCTTTACAGAATTATGGCCAAGATGATAGCGAATAGAATGAAAACACTGATAGGAGGATTGATATCAGAATCCCAGAGTGCTTTTATCCCGGGAAGGCTAATCACTGACAACATCCTGGTGGCAGCAGAGGTGGGGCATTATCTGAATAGAAAGCAATGTGGTGTAGTGGGATGGAGTGCATTGAAGTTAGATATGTCGAAGGTCTATGATAGAATGGAGTGGAGCTTTCTAGAAAGGATGCTGACTGTTATGGGTTTTAGTGAGAAGTGGATAAAGCTCATTATGATGTGTGTAACGACTGTTAACTATACTGTAATGGTTAATGGTATAGCAGGGGGCATGTAAAACCAACCAGGGGACTCAGGCAGGGAGACCCGCTCTCTCCGTATTTATTTATTATTTGTGCAGAGGCTCTCTCGATGATATTACAGTATGAACAGTTGGCAGGTTCAATACATGGATGCAGAGTTGCAAGGGGGGCGCCGCCTGTATCACACCTATTTTTTGCGGATGATAGTCTCCTGTTTTTTAAAGCAAATATTCAGGAGGCAGGAGTAATAAGGCACTGCCTTGCAAGGTATGAAAAATTGTCAGGCCAGGTGGTGAATTATAATAAATCTAATATATGTTTTAGCAGAAGTACCCAGGAGGCTGACAGGGCACAGGTAGCGAATTGTCTGGGGGTGGTGCAAGCACCCAATTTTGGGAAATATTTGGGTCTACCATCTTTTGTAGGGAGAAATAAGAGAGCTGTTTTTTCGTATGTGGAGGAAAAAATCAGGCAACGAATTGCTTCGTGGAGTAAAAAGTTACTCTCTCAGGCTGGTAAGGAAGTATTATTGAAAAGTGTAGCGCAATCTATGCCTACCTTTTCGATGAGCGTTTTTTTGTTACCTGAGACAGTTTGTCAGTCAATTGAGCGAACTATGAATAAATATTGGTGGGGTAGTGGAAGAGAAAGGGGAATACATTGGAAGGCATGGGACATGTGCATACCAAAAAAGTATAGTGGTATGGGTTTTAAAGAGCTGAGGGCTTTTAACCTGGCAATGTTGGGTAAACAGGCATGGCGATTTTTAACAGACCCAGAAACACTCGTAGCTAAAATCTATAAGGCAAGGTATTACCCCACAACCAGTTTTACAGATGCAACTATTGGTAATTGCCCAAGTTACTGTTGGAGAAGTATAATGGCAGCCCATGCAATGGTAGTCTCAGGGTGCGAAGGAGGATTGGAAATGGACAGACAACTTTAATATGGGGGCACCCGTGGTTACGGGATAATCCTAGCCCATTGATTCAAACAGAAATGCCACAGCAATTGAGAGAGGCACGAGTTGCAGGACTAATTGATTTACAGACCCATACCTGGGATCCGCATATTTTGTCAGATTTATTTAATCCTGAGGATGTAGAGCGAATAAATATGATCCCTGTTAGTCCTGAGTATGAGGACTCATGGTATTGGATGAGTGACCCAAAGGGGATATATACAGTCAAAAATGCTTATAGGCATATAGTGGGTGATTATGAGAATAACCCAGCGAATTTTGATAAGTGGATTGCAATGTGGAAAATAAAAGTCCCCCCTAAATGGAAAACTTTCTTGTGGAGAGCCATATGTGACGTTTTGCCAACAACCCTTAACTTGATATTTAAAAGGGTGGAGGTGGACCCAACTTGCCCTATATGTGGTTTGGATCATGAAGATGTGTTGCATGCTTTAGTGCTCTGTGAATATTCTAGACTAGTTTGGAATATAACACAATTGCCTATTATTAATATTGTTGCAGACTCGTTTACATCATGGCTAAAAGGGGCTATGGCGGCCCTGACGGAGGAACAGACCCGGTTAATGACAGCAGTATTATATTATATTTGGAGAACCCGGAATTCAGCTGTCTGGAAGGGATCAATGATGCGGCCTACCCAATTGGTCAGAGCAGCCACCGTAGCACTGCAGGCGTACGGCGCTGCCCATGTCCGCCGAATCGAGCCGGCACTGGCGACGGACCACTTGAACGATCTAGGGGAGGGTGGTCTACGATGTTATGTGGACGCAGGTTTCCGGCACGACACGGGCGAGGCTACTTACGGCATGATTATTATAGCACCAGATGGCTCGTTTGTGGCAGCAAGGAATGGCAAGTTACCAATTTGTTTTTCACCACTTATGGCGGAGGCCCAGGCATACAAGGAGGCTTTGTCTTGGCTACTTGACCGGGACAACATATCAGTAAGTTTGCTCACGGATTGCATGGAATTGGCTGCGATAATCAGGCACCATCACACGCTGATCCATTCGTACGTTGGGGTCACGATTGACCAGTGCAGAACGTTTATGTCGTTGTTTAATCGTATTACTTTGGATTACATCTCTAGGCAGGTTAATTTACATGCGCATACTTTAGCTACGTTAGCATTTACTCAGGATCAAGCTATGTACTGGGATGCTATCCCACCTGACGCTATTTCGGCTTTGATTCATTAATACAATCGCAAGATTGACCTTCAAAAAAAAAAAAAAAAGATTTTAATGAAACAAATCACTATAAAAACCGGGTTAAAATTGAGTAACGAATATGAAAAGTAATGTTGGATTAATAGGGCCCAAGACCCTTTAAATGGAGCGTTATGCTATGAAAAGTAATGCACGGTGCACACGGCACACAGTTGCAACGACGTCGTTTTGACGTCCGACTTAAAGAAAAAAAATCAGTTTCGATTGCCGTTAACGGCATTATGTTGTGCATAATTTGAACTATACATTCAGAATTACATAACTACACATCTATAACTTCATAACTATACATTCAGAATGTGAAATTGTTTCATAACTTCAAGCAATGACTCCACGAGTTAGAATACTCCTAAACTCGTCTCTCAATTGTCAATTTTTCTGAGACCACATCTCACAACCTTTAGGTTTACTTACGAGAGTAGGGAACGTTGAAGGTCAAGACTACTTGTACGTATTGATGGAAATTGGTAGCGTCATGAGAGTGGGACAACCCTCATATTCCGATTCGGTCGAACATTGCATCACGAGAGTGACGTGTTAGTACACTGGATTGTTGTTGGCAGTCTTCGAACCTGAAAAAAGTTTCAGAACCCTCAATCTTTTGTTCTGACAGCATTAGACCAATATATACCCATTCCAATCCTTGTTTTTAATTTCTTGTCTTTATTTCTTTACTTTTATCTCGTTGCTTACCCCCCCACCATCCATCTATTTATATGGTTAGCTTCCATCAAATACTTCATCCTTGTGCCTAGTTCTTTATTTGGCTATTCAAACCCCAATCCCTGAGGACGATCTAAAACTTTTTTTTTTTTGTTCCGCAATCCACTATATTGCAGTGCGATCATTAGTTTATGGTCTGGCTTGGGTTAGGATTGCATTATCTATTTAGATATTTTATTTGTGATTATTGCATAGTGGGTAGAATTTCCTAACGACCTAGGGTTCTTTGAGATCGATTTGAAGGATTTTTGATAAAGTCTTGTTAATGTTTGATTGGCCACATTAATTATCATGTTTTTTAAAGGATTATTGACAACAATGAGACTTGGGTCAAGATTCTGAATCACTCCTTGCATAATCCCTATTTCCCACTAAAAATTATGAAAAATATGAGAATTTTGATGCTTTGTGTGCTTGAAGAACTTGATGTTGATACATCACGAGATTGAAACAATTTATAGTCCTAATTATTGTATAGATGATCACGAGAGTGACTTTTAGACTAGAACTCCTACATGCATCCCCTCAATTTATCGGTTATGTGATCTTCCCTATCCTATAGGTTTGTTGCATCTAGTTGATTGTGCTCTCTAACTTGAGTACGTCATATTTCTTTTATTTTTTGAATATCTCTTGTTTATATGTGTTTGTTCTATCTTATTTACGGTTACTTAGTTTTTTGTTAATTTCTTAAGACTAGTGACTAATTAATTGTACGTTATTACATATATTATGTGCCTAACCCCAATTCCTTAGCTTGAATACGAGATTATACACCCACACACTCCCTATCATATATATATATATATATATATATATATATATATATATATATATATATTTGCTACATCTAACCCCAATTTCTTAACTTGAATACGACATTATACATTCGTACACTCCCTATCATATATTTGCTACATCAATTATGTCCCAATAACATTGCCCATTCCATTTGCAAACATGGGCATCAAGCAAGGAGAAGGGTGTTCGTAACAAATAGTCAAATAGAGACCAAAACCCCAAGGAAGGGACACATCACACATGTCCCCTTACCAAATGAGCAAGTCACCAAGAAATAGTGAGAATAAGGAGGTATATAGTGACCAAAGGTTATACCTGCCCAAATTGTCTCCCTCTACTTTTATTGGTTGGGGGAAGAATACAAAAGTTTCCCTCCATACAAATAGTGACTTTGCTTTAGCTTGTAAATTTAAGTAAACAATCCATGTCGAGAATAGTAAAATTTTGTAAAACTTGTGTTCGTAATTGTTAACATTCCTCAAACTTTCACGCTACTAAAATAATACAACTAATAAAGTAATGTTTATTCTATTTAGTTTCATTACTTCTCAACTATTGTTATTATTGCGTTAAAGACTCAATCATTGCCCTCCTCAACATGCACCCAATAGGCTCAATAAATTCAATAATGATAATATTCAGTACTATAGATATAGTAGAATATATATATATATATATATATATATATATATATATATATATATATGATCCGAGATAAAAACTAAAACACTAATCTGATCTATCAACTTTGTGAGATCAATGGTTGAGAGTTGAAAAATAAAGAGAAAATAGATGTGATCAGTATGAAATTGATTTTATATTATTATTTTTTTACTAATATCCTCAATTATTAATGAATTTTGATAGACGACTGTTATCAGTTACCCTATTATGTATACTAGTATTTGTCTCGTGCGATGCACGGAAAATATGTTATAAAAATATACACTATATGAGGTTTATTCATATATAAAATTTTTGTTATTTAATAATTATTATGTGTGAATTCCTATGATAAAATTATGAACATAAATATATTTACAATTAAAATAATATTTAAGGTGGGTGATTACTACAAATCTTAAACTATATTAAAAATTTAGTACATAATATTTAATATTATAAATTTAAGAACTTTTTTTTTTTTTTTGAATGCATAAATTTAAGAATTTAGTAAACTACAATAGTAATTGAATTACAATTTTAGAGTCACCACAGATCAAAATTTTTAGACCTTTGAGATTTCTAACTCTAGATGTAGCAACATACAATTGACCTTTAAAGACCAAAATCACAATCT